CCTCATTCATTCACAGGACCCAAGTGGTCCTTCCCCTTCCCAGCCTCTCCTTCCTTGCCCTGCCTTCTCTAGTCCTGCCCTCACTCTCAGTTGCAGGGACAGAACCTTCGGTAATTCTATCCCAAGCCTTACACCCCTACCTGGCTGGCTCCCTGCCTTGGTAGCCCACTCTAGTGATGCCAGAAGTTCCAGAGCAAACTGACACCACACACCAACCATTCCCTCCCTTGCAGGCACCTCTCCCCAGCTAGGCTGAGACAGGCACAACTCTGGTTAAACTCTAACTCCCTGCTGGCCCCCACAGGCCCCTGGTAGCCAGTGTGGCTGGAGAAAAACACAACTATGCAGCCACCACTGAAATTCATGGCCATAGGGATGCCTGGGTGGCTCAGCAGTGGAGCATCTGCCTTTGGCTCAGGGCATGATCCCGTTTGTCTGGGGAATCCAGTCCCACCCTCCAAAGAGCCTGCTTTTCCCTCTGCCTCTCTCTCTCTGTCTCTCATGAATAGATAAAGTGAAATAGAAAGAAAAGAAAAGGGGATCCCTGGGTGGCGCAGCGGTTTGGCGCCTGCCTTTGGCCCAGGGCCCGATCCTGGAGACCCGGGATCGAATCCCACATCAGGCTCCTAGTGCATGGAGCCTGCTTCTCCCTCTGCCTGTGTCTCTGCCTCTCTCTCTCTCTCTCTCTCTGTGACTATCATAAATAAATAAAAAATTTAAAAAAAAAAGTGCTTTAAAAAAAAAAAAAAAAGAAAGGAAGAAAGGAAGAAAGAAAGAGAAACCATAAAACCCAGTTGCACCCTTGACATTGCCCAGTACACTTCACATGCTCTATGTTTGGGGATGCACGACTACTTCAAACCTGATCCTTTCTCCTTCAACCCTCTCCTGGAGAACCTGGAAGCACCCACAAGAGAAACTTCTACTACTTCCTTTTTTTAAAAAAAAAAATTATTTATTTATGATAGTTACAGAGAGAGAGAGAGAGAGAGAGAGAGAGAGAGAGGCAGGCAGAGACACAGGCAGAGGGAGAAGCAGGCTCCATGCACCGGGAGCCCAATGTGGGATTCGATCCCGGGTCTCCAGGATCGCGCCCTGGGCCAAAGGCAGGTGCCAAACCGCTGCGCCACCCAGGGATCCCCTTCTACTACTTCCCATAAAGTATCTACTCAAGACCACGCAGCTATGTCCACTGTCCGGCGTTTAGCTGAGCTAGCCCTCCGCAGGCACCAGACCCCTCCCCTACTCAAAGACATCTCTCTAGCTAGTCTCCCTTCTCTCCTGCCTCATTTGGGTAGTTTCCTGGCTCCTGGATTACTCCCATCAGCTTATAGACAGGCTGTTTTCTTTCTCCCTTCTAAAATTAAAAAAAATTAAATTAAAAATTAAACAACTCAGGACATCTCGGTGTCTCAGCGGTTGAGTATCTGCCTTTAGCTCAGGGCGTGATCCTTGAGTCCCGGGATCCAGTTCCACATCGGGCTCCCTGCTTTTCCCTCTGCCTATGTCTCTGCCTCTCTCTCTGTGTCTCTCATGAATAAATGAATACAATCTTTTTTTTAAAAAAATTAAACAACCCTTCCTGGATCCTCCTTGGGCCTTCAGGTGCTGCCCATTGCTCTGCTCCCTTTTCTGGAACACAGCTGCCAAGATTGGGCTTTCCTTTCTGCCTCCACTTCTCTTCCTGTCATCCCTCCCCACTGAACTGAGCTCAGCCTTCCCCCCACCTCCCCACCCAAACTGCAACAGCCCCCTCTTGGTGGCTCCAGGGCTCCGCTCCCAGTCCCCCTCCAGCCAGACTATTCCCCCTAGCTGCCCAGGCCCTGCCTGCTCCTGGTTTCCCTCCAATCCTGCTAATTCTTTCTCAGTCCTCAATGCTGCCTCTTCCTCTGCTGCTGGCCTGTCTATGCTGGCTCCCTGGGCCTCAGAGAACATTACCTCAGTGATTGAAGACTCCCACGTATATAAATCCCACCTGGACCTATGCCTACTAGAAACCTCCATCTGGCTGCCCAAAAGGCACCTCTCACCTGCGCTGGCCCAAACAGTTCTGCCATAGCTCCGTCCTTCAGGTGCCCAGGCCAGATTCCTTGCAGCCATCCCTGGCTCCTCTCTTTTCCACCCCTGCCCCCAACATCCAGTTCATTGGCAGATCCTGCCAGTTCTACCTTCAAAATAAACCCAGAGTCCAGCTATTTACCACCCCCACTGCCACCACCAGGTGCAAGCCACCATCCTTCCTCACTGGGACTCTTGTGGCTGCCTCTCCTGCAGCCCCATGGCTGCTTTTGCCCATTGTAGACTAGTCTTAACTCTGAGGCCCTGGTGATTCTCCTGATCCCAAAACAGACCACCCTTGCCTCTGCTCAAAGCTGTCCCATGTGTTTCCACTCAGAGTGAAACCAACACCCTGACACTGGCCTTCCAGGCCCTGCCCAGGGGCTCCTCCCCCCGTCCCATCTATCCCTCCCTCCACTCCCAAACTCTCCTCCCCCCAGGAGCCTAGACGGTGTCCTCCCCTCAGGGCCTTTGCATTTGCCCTTCCCTAGGCCAGGATCTGTCTTTTTCCAATGATATGGATGGGGCTCACCCCTCACCCCTTCCAACCTTTGCTGTAATATTGCTTCCTGCCAAGGCTGACCCTGACCACCCCGTTAGAGTCTCCTCCAGCTCCCAATACTCTGGATTTCAAAGAGAAAGTAAATGTTTCTGGCACTGCCATCCAGCGCCTGTCATCTTCTAACACATTATGGCATTTGTTTGTTTGCGGCTTGTCTCTTTTCACTCTCTCACTTAACTAGAATGTAGGCACCACAAGGGCAAGGGCTTTTATCTTTTTTGTTCACTGGTGTACCCCTGGCAGCTGGGACAGCATGTGGCACAAACTAAGCACTTGATATGGAGGATGAAGAGGAACAGGGAGGTGGGGGTAGAAACCTGTAGCGAGCAGAAAAACAGCAAATGCAAAGATCTGGATGTTAAAGGAGGTAAAGAAAATCTGGAGTTCAGTCTGACAAAGTGTGGGAGGGGGCTGGGGGGGGGCCGGGGAGGAAGACCCGGTAAGCCTTCCTATTCCTGAAGGTGGGGATGGATGGGGTCATTCAGACTTCAGGAGGTCAGGGATACAAGTTTTGTTCACACCAGACCTTTATGGTGGTTCCAGGCGCCCAAACCTGTGTTGGGCACTGGGGAGGTGGGCACTGGTGAGAAATGGCCACCACAATCTGTGCCCATCCTTCCATCTTAGCACTGGGTTCCCTCAGTGGATGTGGACAGGCCCGCTTCCTGGAAGGGCTATCCTTGGAGTCATTTACCCCTGGCAACTGGCAAGGATAGTCCCAGTATGGGTGTGTGCCACAGAAAATACATACCTGGGGCTAAGGTCCAATTTCAGGGAAGGTGCAAAGCTGGGGGCAGGGCACCTTGGAGTCTTCCAGCCCTGGTTCCTACCAAAGGTAATGCCAACCAAGTGTGACCTTAGGCAAGTCATTTCCCCTTTCTGGCTGACTGGTTGTCTCTAGGTGATTTGTGTTCTGGTCCTATGCTAACAACTACATTCTTTGAGCATTTACTACACACTGGCCCTATAATTGCTTCCTATAGATTTCTACTAATCATCCCAACAGCCCTACAATGGTGGTGATTAATTGCTCTGGTTTACAGAAGAGGAAACTGAGGTGCAGAGAGGTTAGGGACTTTACTCAAGGCCAGCGAGTGGGGATACAGCTAGGATGCAGGGAGCTGTTGGGCCCAGGGCAAGGTGGCCAGGCAGGTACCTACCTCCATGGTGTTTGCGGCTGGCTGGCTGCCCCTGCTGGTGACCAGCTTCCCCTAGGAGGCCTGGGGCCGTCTGCTGGTGCTTGCCAGGGCCTGGGGGCCGGTCCCCTGTGGGGCTGGGGCCCAAGCCCCTATTTGCAGGGCTGGAGTCTTCCTGCTCACTGGGCTCAAACTCTGGGATCTGGAACATGCTCTGGGCTGTGGGGGCAAGACAGTAGGTAGTTAGGGCACAGCTGGGGTAAATGGTGGCTAGTGAAGGGAGAGGGCAGCAGATGCCCACCTTAAAACCCCAGGTTCACTCTGCCTCCCGGGCCCCCGTTTGTCCACTGAGCCTAGCTGGGCAGGTCGCTCAGCCTGTCTACCTAAATCTCCTCTTGTGGAGCCCCGGAGCCGTGAAGCGGTTCCAGGTCCCTACCTAGGCCCTGGCCCAACCTGTCCTCGGTGACGGCACACAAGTCTTACCCCAAGCCCGGTCTCGAGGCCCCTGACCCGGGCCTGCCGCCTCCCTCTAGTACTGAGGGAGTCCGGCCCTAGTTGCCTGGGTAACGGGAACTGTCACCGAGAGGGCCCAATCAGCTGGTGAAATGTCACTAAGGCGGGCCAGGGGGCGTGGCTGCTCCTGGCCCAGACCCCGCCCCCGCCGGCGGACCTGCGCCCAGCCCGCCGCCGTCGTCCCGGGTCCCTTCCTCTTCTCCCCGCCGCTCGGTTCCTGACTTCCTTGTGCCTGGGTCATGTGTGGGAGCAGATGAGGGATTCTCTGGGGTCTCCTCTTGGAACCTGGAGACCAGCTTCTGCTGACAAGCCCTTCAGCCCCTTTGGGCCTTGGTCTCCACTCCTGTAAAATGGGGATGATGACCTCTCCCTCAGAGGCCAGTGAACTCTGTAAACCGAGTGGCGATTACTGTGGGTGAAAGCACTTTGCAAAGCTTCAGCTGAAGCTCAGCCGTCGGATGCAGGTGTTGCTGCTGTCACTGCTCCGTGTGGACGGGGGAGTCGGGTCGGGAAGTCCCGCTCCCTCCTCCCCACAGTGGAAACCTCGCGCCGCACGCCTCGGGCGCACTACTCCGCGCGCCAGCTCAGGAGCGCTCGAGACAAGCGAGGAAGCCTCCTCCCCGGCAGGATGGCTGTCCCGGCGCGGGAGAGGGGGCCCCGCTGAGGGTGGCCGTAGGACTTAAGGGGGCTCCGCGCAGGCACAAGGCCGGCCAGGTGAGCGGGAACCGCAGCGGGCCGGGGCGTGGGGCGGCAGTGCCTCCCCGGGACTGCGGGGCCCTGCGGGCGAAGCCCAGGGGGCGGGGCCCGGGGGCCATCTTGGCTGCGGGCGGAAGTTTCCTTCGGAGAGCCGGTGAGGGGAAGTTGTTGCCGCCCCTCCGCCGGGCGGCGCGATCTCAATTTGGGGATAGGGAAGAGAAGCATGGGAACTGGCAGCCCCCCAAACGAACGAGGGCAGGTGGCCCCGGGCACAGCGCACCCGGATGCGGTTCAGCCCGGGCGTCTCGGCCTCCGCCTGCCTCTAGTAACCCCTGGCGCCCGCCGGCAGCGCACCTTGCGCCAATTCTCGCACGGCTCCGGCGCGAAGCTGGTGGGGCCAGACTCTGCGCAATAAGCGTAGCGAACGGCGCCCGCGCAGGCGCAGGCGCAAGAGGGGGCGGAGCCGCCGGAGCCGGGGAGCTGAGGAGCCCTAGCCCCGGGTCCCAGCGGCCAGAGCCGGCTCCCGCAGCGGCGTACGGAGGACCCGGCGCCGGCCTCCTCCCGCCCCCCGAGGCTGGAGAGTGGATGCAGCGGGGGGTGGGGAGGGGCAGCGTCCGGAATTCCGAGGACGGAGGGCAGAGGCCATCCCCAATCAGGATTATTGGGGGGAACAGAGACCCCCCCACCCCAGTTTGGGGAGGAGGAGAGCTGGGCGTTGAGCGCCCCCCGCAGCGACCACTGCCTTCAGTCGAAGGGTATCTGCCGGCTCTCCCCCTCGGGCCCGATCGACTCCAACGGCTAAGGCCAGGGACCCCTGTCTTTCAGGCTCTGCACGCCCCCACCCCGGCTCGGGCTGGCCCAGGGAGGAGACCCTGCCCACTTCCCGCCTCTGCCCTAGAGGCGCACTCCTTCCACGCCTCAGAGTGAGGGGCCCAGGCCCCAGGCAGGCTGCCTGTGCCTCTCTGCAAGGGGAGGGTCTCCCCGTTGAGGGGGAAGGGCCTGCCAGCTGCAACTTCTTTCCTCCTGAGCTCCTCATCTCTGTCGCTGCACCCTGCAACTCCCACCCCTCCGTATTTATTTTCCTGGCCCCCAGCCAGCCTCTCCATCTCTTTCTCTGGGATTCAGGCCTCCCTTCCTGACATGGAGAGTAACCTGTCTGGCCTGGTGCCTGCTGCTGGGCTGGTGCCTGCGCTGCCTCCTGCTGTGACCCTGGGGCTGACTGCGGCCTACACCACTCTGTATGCCCTGCTCTTCTTCTCGGTCTATGCCCAGCTCTGGCTGGTGCTCCTATATGGACACAAGCGTCTCAGCTATCAGACCGTGTTCCTGGCACTCTGTCTGCTCTGGGCTGCCTTGCGCACCACCCTCTTCTCCTTCTACTTCCGAGATACCCCCCGAGCCAACCGTCTGGGACCCCTGCCCTTTTGGCTTCTCTACTGCTGCCCTGTCTGCCTGCAGTTCTTCACACTGACACTTATGAACCTCTACTTTGCCCAGGTAACCATGGTAATGGGTGGGGGTGGGCTGTGGGGTGGGAAGCCCCAAAGGCCCAAAGGAATGATGGGCATCTCTGCTCCCAGGTTGTGTTCAAGGCCAAGGCGAAGCGCCGGCCGGAGATGAGCCGAGGCTTGTAAGTACAAGGGACACGTGGGCATATCCCTCAGGCCAGGGGCAGGGAACAGCCTTGTGTCCGTTTCTTGCCCCCACCCTGGGTAGTGCCAGGGCGAGGACAACTTAGCAAATGTTTTTGAAAGAACCATGAAAGTTAGGCACGTGGTACACACGGCTCAGCAAAGGCACTGCATCCATGAAGGGCAGCATTGAGAGAAATAGCTATGCTAAGTGTGAAGGAAAAGGCCCCCAGGGTCACCCATGATGGATGAAGAGCTGGAGGCCCCAGCCTTGGGAAGCCCCAGACTGCACTCCTGGCTGACCTTGGGTGGCAATAAACTTGTCATTTGTATAACGTCTTTCAGTGTTGTTATCCCCATCTGAGAGATGAAGAAACTGAGACCCAGCAAGGTAAAAGCCTCACGTGCAAGGTCATAGATATGGCAGGAGGCAGCGCCAGGGCCTACTTAAACCCAGGTTTCTCTCAGTCCTGTGCTCTTTCCACTGCACCACAGCTATCCCGTATGGGCCTCAGTTGCCCTGTCTGTAAACCTGGAGGGCTGGGGTTCAGACTGATTTGGTCTGAATTGGTTCTGATTGACACTGGAGTCTCCTGGGGGAGTTTGGGTAGTCAGGGAGTGCCAGGGATGGTTGTCTGGGGCTGACTGTGCTGTGGGCTGTAGGCTGGCTGTCCGAGGGGCCTTCGTGGGGGCCTCGCTGCTCTTTCTGCTGGTGAATGTGCTGTGTGCTGTGCTGTCTCGCCGGCGCCGGGCACAGCCCTGGGCCCTCCTGCTGGTGCGAGTCCTGGTGAGCGACTCCCTCTTTGTTATCTGCGCCCTCTCTCTTGCTGCCTGCCTCTGCCTTGTTGCCCGGCGTGCACCCTCCACCAGCATCTACCTGGAGGCCAAGGTAGGGCCAAAAGCCCTGATACCCGGTTGTCCTTTGGGGTCTTTGGGCAGTGGTCTTCAGGGCAGAGAGGAAGCTGGAGCCTTCCCACCCTGAGGGTCCCCATTGTCATCTGTGCCAGGGAACCAGTGTGTGCCAGGCAGCTGCGATGGGTGGTGCCATGGTCCTGCTGTATGCCAGCCGGGCCTGCTACAACCTGGCAGCCCTGGCCTTGGCCCCCCGGAGCCGGCTGGATGCCTTCGATTATGACTGGTACAACGTCTCTGATCAGGTGGGCATTCAGCACATTGGCCACCTCCTCTTGGCCTCCACTTGGCCTTGGCTCTGTCTGGGTGTCCCTCTGGTGCAGTTGTGGATTGACACAAACCCCTGCCTTCCCACAGGCGGACCTGGTGAATGATTTGGGGAACAAAGGCTACCTGGTGTTTGGTCTCATCCTCTTTGTGTGGGAGCTGCTGCCCACCACCCTGCTGGTGGGCTTTTTCCGGGTCCACCGGCCCCCACAGGACCTGGTGAGGGCCAGCGGAGAGGGGTGGATGCTGGGAATCCCTTGGACTGGGGTCTGGCAGGGCTGTGGGGCAGCAGAGAGCATGATGGTGGCTTTTTCTCCCAGAGCACCAGTCGCATCCTCAATGGGCAGGTCTTTGGTTCCCGTTCCTACTTCTTTGACCGGGCTGGGCATTGTGAGGATGAGGGCTGCTCATGGGAGCATGGTCACAGCGAAAGCACCAGGTAGGAACCCTGGCCCTGAGTCAGATCCTCCGGGCTCCCAGCTTGCTCTGTTGAGCCATGGGGATCTAGAGCCTGGTCTGCCAACTTTCCCCCTTGACCCTGTCCCTGCCATGCCCGAGTTTCCCGTCTGTACTAGGTGAGGTACCCTCTGGTTTCAACCGCAAGATCAGTTTGCCACAGTGTAGAGGATTCAACTCCTGGGTGCTGGAAAGCTGGGGTCCTAGACCCTGTTCTGAACCTCCCTCCCCCTCCCAACTCCTGTGAATGTGGCCCTGGTCACTGCCTAGAGACTGACCCTTGTTTCTCTGCCTGCAGCATGTCAGGCAGCCTAGGCTCTGGCAGCTGGTACGGCGCCATCGGGCGGGAGCCAGGCTGGTGCGGGGGCAACCAGACACGGACCACTCCGCTGCTCTTCTCCCAGGTGCTGGGACCAGGTGGCCACCACCACAGTCTCTACTCCACCCCACAGACGTGATCCCCTTTTCTTCTTCCCTAGAACACCCAGACCCCAGTCCTCCCAACCCAGGCCCCGTGCCAAGTTCACCTACCGCTTCTTGCCCAGGATCACGGGAGACTGTGGCCACCTCTTCCCCTGGCCGGCTCCTTGCTCCTCCTGTCGTAGTGAGCTTGTGCTATCCCCACAAGGGAACATGGCTCTGGCTGCCAGATGCCCACAGCACCTTGGCATGACCTGCCGCCTCTGCTTCTACACTGGAGCCAGCTACCTCTCCTGCACCTGCCACTCAATAAACAGTGTCTGTACCCCTCATGTGTTCACTGTCATTTGTCTGCTTTTTGTTCCTTTTTTTTTTTTAAAGAATGGCACTTTTTTTTAAATTTTTATTTATTTATGATAGTCACACACACACACACACACACACACACACACAGAGACATAGGCAGAGGGAGAAGCAGGCTCCATGCACCGGGAGCCCGACGTGGGATTCGAGCCCGGGTCTCCAGGATCGCGCCCTGGGCCAAAGGCAGGCGCTAAACCACTGCGCCACCCAGGGCTTTTTGTTCCTTATGTCATTGCTTACATGGCTGAAACCGATCCGACCCAGGCCCTCCAAAGGAGCAGCTGGGCTGGGTTGGGGTCACTTACCAGACCAAGACTGGTGGGCAGGGAGAGGGAGGAGCCTGCAGTCTGATGGCAAAGGAAGCCAGGAGAGTGTTCCCACTCCAGTTCACTTCTTGCTTGAAAAATTTCTACTCTCTCCTCAAAACCTGCAGATGTCATGATCTCCAGGTCAGGAAGCCTTGTATCCCCTCGGGGTTCCAGTGACACTGTGATTATGCATCTTATATGCCTGTTACCCTTGCTGGATTGGGATTTCTGGAAACCCTGTTTCCCTGTCATCTTTCCCAACCTGGCATTCCAGGCCAGGGGTTAGTCTAGGGCTGTGGAGGAAGTGGCCTGTGACTGAGTATCCCCACCTCCCTACCAGGTGTGGATTTGGCCAGATAGTTAGGCTGCCCTGTATAGTCTGCCTGGGGGCCCCTTTTCTCTCTCTCTCTCTCTCTCTCTCTCTCTCTCTCTGTCTCTGTCTCTCTCTGTCTCTCTCTCTCTAAGATTTTTATTTATTTGACAGAGGAGAGAACAAGTGAGCACAAGCAGGGGGAGTTGCAGAGGGAGAGGGAAAGGCAGGCTCCCCACTGAGCAAGTAGCCCCATGTAGGGCTTGATCCCAGGATCTTGGGATTGTGACCTGAGCTGAAGGCAGACACTTAACCAACTGAGCCACCCAGGTGCCCCTGGGGGCCCTTCTCTACTGCCTCTGATGCCACGTCACTGCCTTCTTTGGGGCAGTACCACAGCCTTGTCAGATCTGACATCTGTCTTGTGGCTGGGAGTCATCTATCAGAGGATCTCTCTCCTGCCCACATACCTGGTCGTCACAGCTCCTAGAAGCTCCTGCAGCCTAGCACTAATCCTGTCTTGAAACTTTTCACTTGGAATGATCTGGGAACACAGCCTTCAGGGCTTCTGGAGAGGTCACCTGAGACTGAGAATGAGCTTGAAGCTTAACAGTCACTTTTTGTAAAAGGAACATTTGTAAGGCGCTTTATTGTGTGTGCCAGCTTCTGTTTTGAGCATTTACAAACACCTCCTTAATGCTCAGAGCAGCACTCAGGTGATAATCATCCCTTTTCTGTAAGTAGGAACTGGGAGGCTCCGGAGAGCTTGGTAACACGTCTACGCCCTCTACTGGTAGGGGGTGGTCAGACTTCGAGCCCAGGCTTAAAACCACCCACTGTCAGAGCTGAAGACCCCGGGCAAGAGGATTTGGGGGAGAGGGCAGGGTTTAAAGAAGCAAGTGGGAACACAGGAGAGCAGTGCCAAGACCTGCCTGAGCCCTAGTTGTTCAGGCTGTGGGGGAGTGCTGGCACTAGTTCCACGTCGGGATGGCTACGGAGGTGAGGACCAAGGGATGGGCAGGGGTGGGGGCAGGGGGCCATGACTTTCCAGAACTGGGACCCCACCCTACCACAGCCAATTCCGGGTTGTTTCAGTGGCTCGCCCACCCCTTCGTCCCGCGGGGCCGACTCCCTCAGGAGGGCTGAGCCCAAGGGCCAGGCTGTCCCCAGGGACGGGGAGTTGAGGGTTCTTCCGATCCGTAGTGGACCTGGGAGATGCTGGGAGATTAGCGTGGCGCCTGACCGGGGAGGTGAGCCGGCAGATGTCCGGGCCGGGGCCGCGCCGCTGGCCACGCTGGCTGGCCGGCGGGGCAGGACCAGGACTCCGGGCTGAGACTCCAGGCCGGACCCAGCGGCGACCCGCCTTGGGCTCCTCTGCCCCTCACCTGCCGAGACCGGACGGAATTGGGGGGCTGGGCGGCCGCAGGTAAGGGGCCGCGGGGTACGGCGCCGGCGGCGAGGGCGCGGCACGGAGGGAGGCGCGGCGCAGGAGGGGTTAAGCTTCGAAGGAGGGGGCTTCTGGAGGCGGGGGGGGGGTCCCAGCTCCGGCTGCCGCCCGCTCCGCCCCTGCCGCCGCCGCCGCCGCCGCCGCCTCCGCGGCCCAGCCAGCACCGGCGAGGCCGCGCGGGTGCCTGGGCCGCAGCCGCCGCCGCCGCCGCCGCCGCCGCAGCAGAGCCGACAGTGAGTGCGGGGCCTACGTGGGAAGGAGTGCGGGGCGCTGGCGGGACTCCCCGGCAGGGAGGGGTGCGCAGGGGGCGACCGGCCGGGCGGGGCGCACACCTCCCGCGCGTGGGCGCCTCCGGGAGTCGAGCGGCCGCGCATCCTGCGCCCGCACGCTCCCGGCGTCAGCGTGGAAGCCTCGGGAGGCTGTGGGAGCGAACGGCGGGTGTGCGGCGTGTCCGGTGGCGGGCGCTGCGCGGTGTGTGTGCGGGGGTGTGTGCACACGTGCGCGCGGACCTTCGGGGTGCCTCGGGCCGGCGCGCACGCCCCCGAGGGTCCGGGCGTGCCCGTGAGCCCGGGGAGTGTGCAGGTGGAGTGTGTGCGTGCAGCCTGGGCAGCGGGGCAGGAGGGAGCCGCAGGGCGGAGCGTGGGCGCCCGGGTCTTTGTGCCCGCGGGTGTGCGCGTGGGCGCCGCCGCGCGCTGTCCCGGGGGCCGACATCTGTCCGGGAGGATGCTGCCCGGGTCTGGCCCTGATCGCTCCCGCCCGGTTCCTTCCCGGAACCCGGCACACTCCCTGCCCCCCGCCCGGCCTCGCCCCAGCGCAGCCACGGGACCAGCCCCTGGGTTCCTCGAAAGCCCGGCGGGGCGCCGGGAGACCCTGGAGGCTACCCGCCCGGCCCCCCGCGGGTCGCGGCGGAGCGGAGAAGAGGCGCGATGGCGAGGGAAGCGCGAAGATGCTGCGGCAGCCGCGGTGGAGGAGCCGGGACCCGCCATCCCCGTCCCCGCCCTGCGCGGTCCAGCCTCTCCTCCCGCTTCCCCTTCGCGCGCCTCCGCGCCGCCTCCGCGCCCCCTCCGCGCCCCCTCCGCCTCCTGCTCTGAAGCGGGTCCCTCACGCCCCTTCCAGGCCCCGGCGTGGTCTCGCTCGCCCACCTGTCCCTTGGCTGGCTCGGGCTCTCTCTCCCCCCTCCACTCTCCTTCCTTTCCCTTCCCGGTGCCCTCCTCTCATCTCGAGTCCTGGAGTCCTCGGACAGGGGCTGAGGGCCGGGCAGTGGAGGTAAGGGGGAGGACAGAAGTGGGGAGACTGGATGTGTCCTGGCAGAGGGATGTGAGGAGAGGACATTCCCCGGCAGTTAGTGCTGGGGGCTCCAGGACCTCTGGATGCGTGGGGTTTAGAGGAGGAGGGTGTAGGGGGGAGGAGGCCAAGTTACTGACCCCCGCCTTCCTGGTTCTGTCCACAGTGACCGCTGCTCCCCAGGAGCCCCCTGCCCGGCCTCCCCAGGCAGGCGGAGGGATTGGCCGGGCCCCTGGGCGCGCCATGCGCAGCACCACACTCCTGGCACTGCTGGCGCTGGTCCTACTCTACTTGGTGTCTGGTGCCCTGGTGTTCCAGGCCCTGGAGCAGCCCCACGAGCAGCAGGCCCAGAGGGAGCTGGGGGAGGTCCGAGAAAAGTTCCTGAGGGCCCATCCATGTGTGAGCGACCAGGACCTGGGGAGCTTCATCAAGGTCTGTGGGTGGGTGGGAGCCCCTTCAGCACTTGCCTGTGACCCCCTGAAAGTAGCTGCATGCCAGGGGTGCCCAGACTGCCACCACCCCCACCCCCACCCCCGGCCTCCAGGGCAGAGTATGGCTGAGGGGTACAGGGCAGAGGCTGGAATCCAGGTCTCTGTGTTTTCAGTATGGTGGCCATGGGAACACTTGTCCACCTTGCCTCTCCTGTTTTTGGATTGTCTCCTTCAGTTGTGATGGTGGTTGAGTGAAGGAACAAGTGAAGGAGGAAATGAATAAATGTCCAGAGCACATGAGATATGTTACATTTTCACAGGCCTAACTCATTGGTTCTGGGTTGCTGGATGAAATCCAGAGCACCTGGATAATTGTGAATTTTAGCCACTAAAAACTTAAAAAATAAATATGTCCCATGCAAATATTTTGGCAACCCTACACTGGCTTCTCTACTTCTTTGGAGTCACAGAGGACTTGGAGATGCCCAAGAACATTGTGAACAGTCCTCTACCCCACTGGAAAATTCTCTTATAGCTATATCCCTCCCAGTGGTTTCAGAGGCTGTCAGAGGACACATTCAGAGAGTTCCAGGATCCCCTAAGCTTGCCAACATGGATACCAAGTTAAGCACCCCTTCTCCCCAGGACACATGCTTATGATAAGGAGGCTAGAGGAAGGGCAAGTGAGGAACTGGTTCAGCTTTGGTTCAGTGACTAAAGAAAGTGCTGGGCTTTAGCCTTCTGGGGGTACTATCAGAAAAGCACCTTAGTTGCTTTCTGTGATTTCTGAGTAACTCTCATATAAAATCCCTAAGGAGTAACTTTAATAAATTAATGTTTATTACTTTATTGAAGAGTACCCCTTTCTTTGCCTGTCCTTTTGGAGGGAGGCGCCATCACGGCAGGGAGGCCTCAGTGTTCCCCCTGGTTCCCAAGGTGGCAAGGCCAGGAGCAGAGATGAGGGTGGGGTGGGGCCAGGACACAGGTGACTTGATGTTGTCTCTGACACTTCCAGAATGCCCACTGAGGCTCAGAGAGGCCTGGGGAGGAGAATGTGTCTGGCCAGACCACAGGGCAGAGGGAGGAAGGGAATCTGACCTATTTTATCTTCACGATGTAAATGCTTTTGTCCTGGATAAAAAAAGAAGAAAAGGAAGGGCAGAAATTACAAGTGTGGGCGACAGCTGCTTTCTCTTCCACAATTAGGGAGTCATGCAGCAAGTGTGCACCTACTGTGTGCTAGGTGCTGTGCTATACACCGTAGGTGAGCAGGGAAATTGGTAGGGGGTGGACCAGATGCAGGCTCTACCCTAGAGAATGTCACTCTGGGATGAGGGGAGACAGATCCATGGAGAGACCACTGTAAGATTCAGTGGAAAGGGAGCTTTCCTTGCTTCCTTCTTTGTTAAACACCTGTTATATGCTGGCCCCGAGCAAGGTGCTGGGGGCAAGAAGGGAGATGCCAGGGACCTTTGAGAGGTCATTGAAATGAGGCAGGTGAGCCCTGTAGAATTTAGAGATGTGTGATTGGTTTGCAACAGACCTGCCGGCAGAGGAACAGCATGGGCAAAGGCGTGGAAGTTGGAAAGCTCAGAGTGTTTTGCAGAACTCGGATTTAGCAGATGCCTAGTCATTCGAGGCAAAAATTAGAACACACAGGATGACAAAGGATTTTTTTCCCCCTAAGTAGTGAATTTGTTGGGAAAGTCTTGCAAAATAAAATTAAATCTCTTTAAATCATACATTTCACTTCTTGGCTTCATTTAAAAATTGTGATTACAGGAAATGGTATCATCTCAGAAAATCTGGGGGTAAAGTTACTGCAACTTGGGTTTCACATGGGGGCCCCAGGAAAGAAGGCTGGGGAAAGGAAGGTGAGGACTAGATTGAGAAGGAGCTGAAATGCTGCGCTGGGAGTGTGGACTCTATGCTGCTACAGAAGGGAGCTGTGGAGGATTTAGAGCAGTCACTTTAGGAAGATTAATTTGGAATGGGTCTTGCTAATGAGGATTGCAGTCAGAGAGGAAGAATGTGGTTTTTGAGCTCTCCCACTGCCTTTGTGCCTTGGCTCTGTGCTCCTTGGGGGAAGGGCCCCTCTGCCTCCCCTGGTCCCCCATTATGCTCTGACCTCTGTCATTTAAGGCAGACACTCTCAAAACACAGACTCTGACTCGAAGAGACCTGCAAGGTGGCAAGAGGGGCAGATACACGGCCATCTCATTAATTTAATCTTATTTACTGAGCACCTACTACATAGCACAGGGTTTGGCTTGGATTTCAGTAGGGTGGGCGGGGGTTTGTGTGTCCATGAACCTTCAAATATTGGGGACAAAATTTGATGCTATAAGAAGCTTCCTGGAGAAAGGGTCCCTAACTTCCATCAGATTTTCTAAGGCAAGTTGCTCAAACTCAGCTTCCCTAGGGGCGGTGGGAGTGGTGGGGTCTGTGGAAAGCTGAAAATCATGGCATGATCACTACCTGAGACTAATTTAACAAATGCACAGGGCTTATTTTGGCGTGAGTGCTTTAACTCTTCATAACTGTCTGAGATAGACACTAGTATCATCAGGCACAGAGTCAACTTGCCTGGGGTCACACTGCATGGACATTTGAACCCAATGGTCCAGGTCTGTGCTCCTGAGCTCGGTAAATTTGAAATCTTTTGTGTGAAGTGAAGGGGCAGATAACTAAAATCTTTCTGTTTTTTCTTAAGATTTATTTATGCATGAATGTATTCACTTATTTAGAGAGAGTGCTTTAGCACACACAAAGGAGCACTCTAGCACAAACCACAGGTGCAATCCAGCATGCAGGAGGAGAGGGGTGGGGGTGGGGGAGAGGCAGAGGGAGGGGAGAGAGAATCCTAAGCAGACCCCCTGCAGAGTGTGAACCCCCCCCCCCAAGGGGGCTCAGTTTCAGGACCCTGAGATCATGAGCTGAACCAAATTAAGAGTCCCTCGATTTACCGACTAAGCCACCCAGGCACCCCAATTAAAATATTTCTGAAATAATGTGGAGGTCAAACACAACTGAGCCACCGGATTTTGCAATGTCTACTCTGAGGGGGAAGACGGGAGGGAAGGTGACAGTGGGGAGGGGATGGAGGACACCTCTCTGGAGACTGGTGGGCGGGGGCTTGGCCAGGACAGTAAGGAGGGACTGAGGTTCCTCCTTCTGCGCCTTGTCCTGCAGGAGGTGGCTGATGCCCTGGGAGGGGGTGCGAACCCTGATACCAACTCAACCAGTAACAACAACCACTCAGCCTGGGACCTGGGCAGCGCCTTCTTTTTCTCAGGCACCATCATCACCACCATCGGTGGGGGAGGGGACTGGGCATGGGAGGGGGGCAAGGGGCCGCTGGGTTTTATCCTGGGGGAAGGTGCAAAGGGAGGAAGTGGGTGCCAGGCAACCCCTAGACCTCCTGCACGGCCCCTCTGCCCAGGCTACGGCAACGCGGCCCTGCGCACGGATGCTGGGCGCCTCTTCTGCATCTTTTATGCGCTGGTGGGGATCCCGTTGTTCGGGATCCTGCTGGCAGGGGTCGGGGACCGGCTGGGCTCCTCTCTGCGCCGTGGCATCGGTCACATCGAAGCCATCTTCCTGGTGAGCTGCTCCTCGCCCTGCGCGCCCTTGCGCTGAGCTTGGGTTACCCTCCCCTACGTCCCCGCTCCGCAAGTGAGCGCCGGCCTCTGGGCGTCTCGGCGGGGGAGCCTGGCGCACAGGCTTCCGCAGGAGGGGGTGTGGGGCGTGTGCCTGGAGGTTTTGGCGACTCCTCGGGTCCTGCCCATTGCTCCTCCCTGCAGAAGTGGCATGTGCCACCGGAGCTGGTGCGAATACTATCCGCGGTGCTCTTCCTGCTCATCGGCTGCCTGCTCTTTGTTCTCACGCCCACGTTCGTGTTCTGCTACGTGGAGGGCTGGAGCAAGCTGGAGGCCATCTACTTCGTCGTTGTGACGCTCACCACGGTGGGCTTCGGGGACTATGTGGCCGGTGAGGCCACCTTTCTTGTGCTGCACTTCCCTCTCCACTTTATTCATGCCCTGGGGCCCTGCACTCTTGCTTCTTCCTCCAAATTCCTTGTGGTGTGTGTGCGCTCACAGGCGCTGGGTCCAATCCCTACCTGCACTCAGGGAATGCACCTTTGGAATGCACCTTTGCGTTTTTGCATGGATGCAACACCTCATTTGCTCTTACATTCTTGCATGTCTGCACCCCATGCATGTGCACACATATATTAAGTGCACCCCTCACATATCACATTCTTATATATGTGCACCCCTTCCATATGCTCACATTTTGAGGTGTGAGCACACTCACTTGCATATTATTACGTGGCACATCTTTAGGTAATGCACACTTGTCTTGCATGCATTCACACACTCTAGCACATACTCACTGATTGCCCTGGGGAGGCAGATCCTCTCACTGTGCTGGGAAGAGGGGCCGTGAACCAGCAGCTCACAGGCTTAAAGTTTGCCCCACAATCAACATTCTTCTGGCCTCCCTGGTGGTATCTCAGGCGCCAGCCCCAACCAGGGCAATGCAGCCTACCAGCCGCTGGTGTGGTTCTGGATCCTGCTCGGCCTGGCCTACTTCGCCTCTGTACTCACCACCATCGGGAACTGGCTGCGAGTAGTGTCCCGCCGCACTCGGGCAGAGGTAGGCGCCCCTGGGTCGGCGCTGCTCTTGCGCTGTGCACTGATGCATTGTACCCTAACAGCGGGTTGATCAGTCCACTTCCCTTCCAGAGTGTGGGCCTCTCAAGGCAGGGACTGAGTACCCCTGCAACATGCAACCGGTCCAGGAACAAAGGGTTAAACTTGGACCGGTTTGCAGATGACTCCATCTCTGCTCCCATGAATAGGGTTGTGAGATTTGGAAAAAAACAAAGAACAGGAAGCCCAGTTAAATGTGACTTTCAGATAAATTATAGATAATATGTTAGCGTAAGTAAGTCCCAAATGTTGCCCCGAGAGAGACATGCATATATTAAAATTAAAATTTTATTTGTCCTTTATCTGAAAGTCACATTTAACTGGGCGACCTGTGTCGTGTCACCCTACTGGGCGCGCCAGCCCGAGGAGCTTGATAGAGAGAGGCGCAGAGGTCTCTAGGGGGCACCGGAAGGGTAGCTGACATAAAACTGGGGCTTTCTAGAAAAGCTCCTGGAGAGGAGCGGATGGAGGAGAGGAGACTGTGTAGCTGGGTGATGAGCCTTTCCCCCGCCCTGGCGGTCTGAGACTGGAGGCCCAGGGGGACGAGAGGGGTCCGTGCCCGACTGGCGAGCGGGCAGGTTCCCGGGGTCGCAGAGGCGGTCGAGGACCCGCGGTCGAGGACTGCCTTCACTCCCCGCGCAGATGGGCGGCCTCACAGCGCAGGCCGCCAGCTGGACCGGCACGGTGACGGCGCGGGTGACCCAGCGAGTCGGGCCCACGGCGCCACCGCCGCTGGAGAAGGAGCGGCCATTCCTGCCTCCACCGCCGCGTTCGGCGCAGCCCGCCGGCAGGCCCCCGTCCCCGCTCCCCGTGAAGGCCGAGCCGCCCTCGCCGTCCTCCGCGTCCACCCCGCCCACGGCCTCCGCGCTGGATTACCCCAGCGAGAACCTGGCCTTCATCGACGAGTCCTCCGACACGCAGAGCGAGCGCGGCTGCGCGCCGCCCCGCGCGCCACGGGGTCGCCGCCGCCCCCCTAACCCTCCCCGGAAGCCCGTGCGGCCGCGGGGCCCGGGGCGCCCGCGGGAGAAAGGCGGACCCGTGTAGGGGCAGGACCCCCGGCCTGGGCCTCTCAAAGGGCCCGGTTCTCGCGCTCTCCCCGGCATGCTCCGTTTGTCTGACCAAAGAGGCCTCGGGACCGCACTGAGGCCTGGGGAGGAGGCTGCGGTTGCCACTCCCCCGCCCCGCCCTCTCCTCGCTTCCTCCGTTTGCAGACCCCCGTGGCTTTCCGTCCCGCACCACACCTCACGACTGTGCCTCAAAAGCCTGCACCAATAAACGAAAAACAGTTTGCACCGCTGCGGGCGTGCGCGCTCCGGGGGCGCGAGGGGCTGGGGGAGCGCTGGCGTCGGGTCGGGCCACCTCCCGGACAATCCCGGCCTCGTGTGACCCCCGAGCCGAGCCCCCCGCTACTCCCCCACTCCCCACGGCCTGGGCCCCTGTCTCTGCCGGGAGGGGACCAGGCAGGGTCGGGAACAGGAACGCGCCAAGGTGGGCCGCGCGGTGGGCAGCGCGTCTCCGACCTCAGCACGGACTAGGGGAGGCGGGGGCGGGGCGGAGATCAAGGCCCCGAGGGTGGGGGGCGCTGTAGATTGAACCCCCCTCGCGAGACCCGCAGCGCCACTCGGGAGCGGGACCTGGCCCCTCCCCGCTCCTGGAGCGTGACCCCTTGTGGCGACGGGGTCCGTTGGGGCAGAACCATGGAGCAAGAGCCTTTCAAAGTAAGGACTCTTTCCGGGCCCCCTCCCCCGGTGAGCCCCCAGCCTGGGTCCAGCCTGGGTCCAGCCTGGGTCCCTGGCCGTCCCCTCCCTCAGCCTCGGCCCGGGCAGCTCCCATCGAGCCCGAGCTGACCCGACGATGACCCGACGACGGACTCAAAGCCCTGGCAGGGCTCAGGGTCCCCGCCCCCAGCCTGCTCGTCTTCTCCATCCCGAGTCCCCGCGGCCCTTGGCTGCCCTCGTTGTATGTGGCCCACAGGCGTCTTTGGGTAGCCATGGCTCAGACGACTCGAGCCCAGACGACATCCGGAATCTGTGGACCAGGGCCACGCTGTCGCAGCCGAAGCTGAATGTGCCGCGGTCCAAGATCTGCGATGACTCGGACGCGGAGGGCAGCAGCCTGGGCAGCAGGACTCGCCAGTGGTACAATCGGAAGGCCGGCCGCGAGGCGGATGGTGGTTGGGAAGAATGGGATGACGGAGAGGACAAGGACGGTTTCAGGCGGGAGGATCTCCACGGGCACTTGTCTTTGGAGGTGGAGCTGCGTCGGGGCAGCATCCTGGGAAGCCATTTAGAGGAAGACGTCGATTCCAAGACCGAGAGCGGTCAGTGTGGCCTCACAGGGCTGTGGAGATCCACAGGGCAGGGGGCTGGCCAGGACCTCGATATCTGTTGCTGTGAAGTTGAGGGTGGGGGTGGGGGGGTGGGACGAGACTGTAGGATCCGCTTCCAGGATTCCCTTCCCCCGACGGGCGCCAGTTACCTTTTACGCTTTTAAGTCGACCAGACATTCTTGGAGCGCCCCCTACCGGGCAGGCGTCATACAAACTCCTGGGGCCAAGGCACGCCAGGTCCGAGAGACACCCGCCGCGAAAATGCGCGAAGGCAGCGCGGGAGAAGTAGGACCGTGCTTTTAATGGAATTACTGGGGTAGTTAAGAGGAGGGAGTTATTTCTTTGTGTATGGATTTGCTGTCGTTGAGGAGGTGCCTGTCTTTCATTCACACGGTCATTGGCTACAGTTTTTTTCTTCTTTTTTTTAAGATTTTATTTATGTACTAGAGAGAGAGAGAGAGAGAGAGAGAGAGAGAGAGAGAAAACAAGTAGGGGGAGCAGCAAAGGGAGAGAAAAAAGCAGGCTCTCCAATGAGCAGGGAGCCAGATGTGGGGCTTGGTCCCAGGACCCTGGGATTATGACCCCAGCCTAAGGCAGACCTTCAACCAACTGAGCCACCCAGGTGCCCCCATTGGCTACAATTTTAAGTGTCTACTTCTTGCTGGGCACTGTCTGAGACTTGCCCCTGCTCCCCAGCTCCTACATCAGGGGATTGCAATGGATAATATTGTAATTGCCATTTATTGAGTGCTTGCTGCGTGTGCCTGGCACTGGCACTGGACTTCCTTTGCATGATGGTCTTAAACTTCAGCACCTCCATAAGGGGATATTCTTGTTACTCCATTTTACAAACAGAACTTGAGGGTTACATAGTCACTGCTCCTAAGCTCACCTAATGGGGTAGTCAGAACTGGAATCTCTGTGGGTGGGAAAATAAAGCCCAGGGAAATAAACTACTGTCCTGTACTGTTTCCCGGTAAGGTAGCACCTGGAGCTGGTCACTCGGAAGGTCACTCCCCCCACCACAAGCCTGCCCATAAATTTCCTCTGCTCCAGGGAAAACCTAGCAGTTTGCAGATCACTGATCTCTCTTTTTCTCTTCTCCCAGAAGTATCTTCCTCAGAGTCATCGCTCAGTATCTCGAAGCACACACCCCATCGAGCCTACTGGATAGAGCAGCAGAACAGGGTTAGAAACACCCAGGAAGATTGGGGATTTTAGTGGGGTGGGGATGGGCAATTTGGGGTTGCAGAGGTGAAGGGGGGAGGGTGGTTTGTAGAGTGGAGGGGCAGGCAGGTTGGTTGGGGGTCTTGAGGCTAGAGGGAGCAGGTGGGGCATTTCAGCTCCGGGCAGGGCTGGGGTTCCTGGGACATCTGAGCCTCTTGCTGCCTCTCCAGCTGCCACTGCCTCTAATGGAAGTCATGGAGAATGAAGCTCTGGAAATCCTCACCAAAGCCCTCTGGAGTGAGCACTTTCCCCCAGCTCCCACAAGAGAGGGGATTTTGCAGGGCTTGGGCCTCTGGGAGTGGGGTTTCAGGATGTGCACGCCTTGTCAGATTCCCCTAACACCCAGAAGTATTCCAGGAGCCCTACCAAAAGTAAAAAATGGGGGGACTGGGCACAGGGACACCCAGTCAGGAAAGCATGGGTGACTTTTAGGGGCCTGGGCTCCAGCCTTAATGCAGCCCCTTTCTAGCTAACACGGCTTTTCTAAAGCTGTTTCTACACTCCCTAGTCTTTGTGTGACCTTGGCTCCCTCCCTCGGTGCTATGAGGAACCACTGGACAATGGATTATTTGGGTAAAAGTCCCCTCCTTTGCCCTGCTTATAATATAAGACAGGGTTGCTGGCTAATTGCTTAGAGTAGGTGGCCCAGGAGGTGTCCACAGAGCTGCCAGCTACCACAGTTTAGGCCTGCAACACTCTAACCTTGTCCTCACCATTGCTCCACCTCAACACTCGCATCCCCCTCCACATCCCCCATCTGTTTAGCGTACAGGTGTATAACTTGACCCTTAAAAAACCTGTCAGGGCCCAGCACCTTGGAGATCCAGTTTCCCAGACTAACACAGAACCGAGTGCCAAGCGTTCCTGCCACCCCAAGTCACCCGCGGGTCCTCAAATCTCACATGCAGCACCGCTGCTGGGGAGGCCATGCCCCTGCTCACTGCTCTGAGTGGAGCTGTGTCCTCCAGGCTACCGGTCAGGGATTGGCCGGGATCACTTCCTGACCAAGCAGCTGCAGCGATACATCGAGGGGCTCAAGAGGCGTCGGAGCAAGAGGCTGCACCTCGTAACGTATTGAGAACGCCGCTTCCGGCTCAAGTGACCGACAGCCCGACTCCAGCCCCCCGCCCCTGTCCCGTCCCCAGACCCAAGCCTGACCCCGTCCACGTGGAATTTGAGTCCTAAAGAAATAAAAGACTGTGCACGGTCGGTGAGTCAGTGCGTGGCTGCCCGCGTGAGGCGGACGCATGTGGCTCCGCCCTTCCCCGTGACCTTCACTCGGTCACCGCAGTGACCTTGAGCGTTCTCCGTCCAGGCCCTATTGGCTCCTCCTTCCCGGGACTCGAAATCCAGGACTTCTTGCAGGTTTTATGTCTGCTTCTCCCGGCTCCGGTCGAGCAGCTGTGTGGGGATATTGGCTCTGCGGTCCAAGTGCCCCATAGTGTAATCTTGAGGGAAGGGGGAGAAGGTAAAGGGGTAGCGCCTTTCCTCTAGTTTGGGCACGCTAGGCCCCGCCCCTTATGCATATGCAGCTACACTAACCTCTCCGCGGTCCCGCCCCCTCATTTACATATGCAAGTCTCCCTGCCCCGCAACTGCGGCCGCAGAACCACCTCGTTCACTCCTCTCGCGCACAGCGCGCCCCGCCCCCCTTCGTTACGTAAGACCGCCTCCGGTTCCAACACCCTAGCGGAGCCTCCCCAAGTCTCCGCTGGCCTCGCCCCTCAGCCGCCGCCTTCCCAAGTGCGCCGCCCCGGCTCGGCGGCGGTGGGCGGGACCCTCACGAAGGTCCGCCCCTGGCTCCGCCGGCTCCGCCCCGACTGGTCCGGGCACGCAGGCGCTGCCCGCTCCACTTGTCTGATTAGCATAGAGCGCCAAGACCCGCCCCCTGCTTTGCATGCGCAGGCCGGCCCCACCCCCGCTGTCAGCTGGAGGAAGCGGAGTAGGAAGCGGCCGCGATGTCCTTTTGTGTCCTACAAGCCGCCGGCGGCGCCGCCGAGTGAGGGGACGCGGCGCGGCGGGGCGGTGCGGCCCGAGGAGGCGGCGGAGGAGGGGCCGTTCGCGGCCCCAGGCTCACCCCGGCGCTCCGGGCCGCTCGGCCCCCATGCCTGCCAGCCCGCCTTGCCGGAGCCCCAGGTCCGGGGGCGGAGGGGAGCGCCGCTGAGGGGGGTGGACGGGCGGGACGCGGGGGCCATGTGCGAGCGCGGCTGGGAGGCGGGGGTTGGGGGGGCTCCGGCTCCGGGACCAACCGGGGTCACGGTTGGGACCGGGTCCAGGGCCAGACGGGCTTAGGGTCCGGGCGGGATCCGGTGTTAAGATCCTAGTGCGTCGGCCTGGGACAGGGGCCGGTTCTGGCTCCGGCTGCAGGTCCTGGCCGGGGTCAGGCTTGGGCCTCGGATCCAGCCCCAGGGCAGGGTTCAATCCCGCACCCGGAGCAAGTCGAAGTCCTAGGGGCGGGCCTCGGTGGGAGATAGGGAGGGTTCCCTGTCGGGGAAGGGGCTTTGAAGACCACGTGGGGGCGCTCGAAGGGGCCATGGGCCACCCGCCTCTCTGGGTCAAAGGTCATCGCACCGGCAGGGGAGAACTTCCTCCTCCTTGGCGCTCCCCATTTACTTCCTGATAACCTGATAGAGGTCTCCTGCGGGCGGAGGGGGAGGGGAGGCGCGGCAACTTCAGGCAACTTTCCGTAGGTGGGCGCAGGTTGGGGGGGCGGGGCGCCCCTGAGGTAGAGGATTCTGCGGCCGCAGGAGTGTAAGAGTGATTGTGCTGGCGGGGGTTAGGGGGTGAGGTGGGGTGGAAGGAGGTGGACCCGCGTCGGCCGGTGGGCCTGGGATTGGGATGCCTGGGATGCCGGGCTAGGTGGGGCGGTGTGTCAGGTGTGAAAGGGTTTGAGTGTGTGTCAGGTGGGGGCAAGGTGAGTGTGTTTGGGATTGAGTGTGTGTGATGGGGAGCCTTGAGTGTGACTCTGTTTATGGGTTGTGCACTTTAGGAGTGTGTGAAGACAAATGGAAGCCAGAGTGAGAGCCAGGGTTTGGGGAAGGCCATGTGTGAGAGCGTGGAAGTGCCCAGTAGAGAGTGAGCATGTGTGAGCATGTGAGGATACCTGGGAATCCAGGTGAGTGGGAATGTGTGAACCCCACCAACTGCCCTTGTGTGCCTGGTTTGCACTTTTGAATGGAGCATACCCAAGTGAAGGGAAATCAACCAAGGTGTCCAACATCTGGAGAAAATTGAGAGGTATCTGGCTACTGGCTGAGGATTCCAGATGGGGTTGAAGGTCACGTGGGGACTAAGGTTACCCTGCTCCTTGGCCCTGGTGGGAGTAGGGAGTTTCCAGACCTCCCCCAGTTTTCCAAGTGGGAGACCTTGCTGTCAGTTACTGGCCCTGGAGGCTTTGGAGGCTCTGTTCCCATGGTAACAGCTGGGGGGGTGCTCTTCATGGGCAGCCCTTCCTTGGACTCTGCCCCTCCTTCCCTCCCCCTCAATGATCCTGAAAGCCTGGCCCTAGGCCTGGGGTTGGGCAACCAGGGTGGCATTGTGTCTCCATCCCCCATCCCAGTGTCTCCCTGTGACCCAACAGGTCTCTCCCTGCAGGTGACCAGCGCCATGTCCAGCCAGGTGGTGGGCATTGAGCCTCTCTACATCAAGGCAGAGCCAGCAAGCCCCGACAGCCCAAAGGGTTCCTCGGAGACCGAGACTGAGCCCCCTGTGGCCCTGGCTCCTGGCCCAGCTCCCACCCGCTGCCTCCCAGGCCACAAGGAAGAGGAGGATGGGGAGGGGGCTGGGCCTGGTGAGCAGGGTGGTGGAAAGCTGGTGCTCAGCTCCCTGCCCAAACGCCTCTGTCTCGTCTGTGGGGATGTGGCTTCTGGCTACCACTATGGTGTGGCGTCCTGTGAGGCCTGCAAAGCCTTCTTCAAGAGGACCATCCAGGGTGAGCCCCCACTGCACTCCTGTGCGTTTTGCCCTTCTGGGCCTAGCACTCCCCAGGGTGCACTGCTGGGTGGCAGTAGGTCCTCAGACTGCTGCAGTACCATTTGGGGTTCCCAAGTTCCTCCTACCTCCTGGGAGTGCTGTTTCCCTGCAAAGTTAAATAAAGCCACCAGGATGTGTTGATGGATTGACTGGATGTGGGATGTGAGAGAGGACTCTAGGTTTCTGGGTGCTGGGACCCTAGCACCTTCCTTGGTGGCTCTGAAAAATTTAGAAGCAGCCCCTGTCTGCTTCTAAACTGTGTTCTCGCTTCTGGCAGCTGCTGACCTCTCAGCAACCCATAAGGTGCCAGCATTGTGACCCTAGTTGAGGCCCAGGAAGATTTTTAAAACTTTGTTCAGGTCCCATGGGTAGAAAATAGCAGAACCAGGATTTGAACTTGGGTTGATTCAGGTCCAGAGCTGACGGCTGCCTCTGCTTATTACTTATAACTGAACTTCGGACAGATGGCTCGCAACTGATTGTGACATTCCAGTGGGTTTTGATTTGGCCAACACCCACTGCTCTAAAACCATCTGTGCTCTCTTCTGGTTTGAAGGCCGGCGAAGTAAATGGTCCAGATCCAGGTGTCTCCTACCCACCTAGCACCCCTTCATTCTCTGTTGACTCCGTTGCCAAACTTTATTGAGCCTTAGCCATAGATCACAATCATTTATTGAGCATTTGGGCACTGTGAACCATGCTGAACACATTACCTTGACATTTCCTTCCATTCTTACTAGCCGTCTTTGTAGGAAGTACTGTTTTGATTTCATTTTACAGATGGGAGAACTGAGGGCCTGGGGGCTTAGGTACTGGACTCACTCGAGGTCATGTAGTTGGTAAGTGGTAGTGTCAGGATGGGCCCCTGGCCGCCTCCAGAGCCCTTGTTCTTCACAGACCTGTGCTTTGCTGTCCTGACCATTGTTCCAGGCATGGGGACCTAGCTGGGACTAAGCCATGTATATTCCAGCAGAAGTGAGAGAGAAAACAATGAATTGCACAAAACTGTTGTAATATAGCTGTTGTCTGGAGGGGGAGGAGCAGGATGTATGCCAAGGAATCTGGTTGGGCTGGGGGCTCTGGAGGTCTTCTCGGAGGAGGTGTCTTGAGCTGCCTGCACAGGCCTGAATAAAGGATATAGGAGGAATGTGCCTATGGAGCCAGGAGGGCCAACATGCCTTTAGTCAGTCAGATGTTAGGAGGAGCTGCCACTACGTGCCAGGCCCTGTTCCCAGCACTAGGCAGTCCTGGCCTTCATGGAGCAGATGCTAAAGGAGGAAGACAGATAATAAAATAAGTATGTGTGTAGTGGCTCAGAGGGTGCCAAGAGGTGACGAGAAACTATCAGTCTGGGCAGGTGGCAGAAGTCTGTAGAGGGGCACCCAGCATTCTCAGAGCAGGGCCAGGGAGGGCCTCCCTAAGGTGACAGGGAGTAGAGATCTGAAGGAGGTGAGGGAGCAGTGTGCCCTGAGGCTGGGGTCTGTGTGAGGAATTCTGAGTTGGCTGGGCCAGAGCAGAGTGCAAGGCAGATGACATTAGAAAGGTGGGCCCTGGAGACCTCACAGGCCTCAGGGACACTTGGGCTTTTACTCTGAGGAGGGAAATCACAGGGTTTGGAGAAGGGGAGGGACAGGATCTGACTTAGGTTGAAGGAGTTGTCCTGGCCCCTGTATTGACATTAACAAGGCAGAAGAGGAGGCCAGAAGGAAGGTGAGGTGATGGTCAGGGGTGGGAGCAGGCACGGGGTTAGGATGAGTCAGCTTCTGGACATATTAGGAGGTAAAGCTCACCAGGTCCTGTCAATGGGTTGGATTTTGGTGTAAGAGAAGAATCAAAGATGTTTCCTGGGTTTCTGCTTGAACAAGTGGACACATGGGAGTTGTAGATTTTGGAGAGGTAGGTCGTGGGCTCCATTTAGGACAAGTGAAGTTTGTCACGCCTTCTAGATGTACAAGAGGTTGAGGGCGTGGGATGTGAGTCTAGAGTTCATGCAGCTCTATTGATAGAAACGTTAAGGCCCAAGACTGGTGAGCTCACCATGGGAGTGAGTTGATGGAGACGAGGTCCCAGGGCAGCCCTGGATCCTTCAATGGAAGGAGTGTGTGGGGTACACAGAAACTACAAAGTGGTCAGTGAGGTGGAAGGAAGATGGGTGTGGTGTCCTAGAGGCAAAAGGTGAAAAGTGTCCCCATGTTTGTGGGAGCAGGACATGATCCATGGCATTAGATGCTCCTTTAGGCCAAGTAAGATGAGGACAAGAATGGACCACGGGGTGTAGCAGTGTGGAGGCTGCTGTGGCCCTGGATGGGAACAGATGAGTTTAGTAGAGTCCAGGGATGTGGCTTGACTAGAGGCTGGGGGCAGAGGTCAGTCTGACACCTCTGGTCTCAAGCTTCCCTTGCCTAGTCAGGAGCCCCCAGCCCAGAGACCAGTCCCCCTAGGGCTCTGGGCTTCCCTGCCACACTCTGGGCACTTCTGCTCTTCCCAGACCTGTGCTTGCCCTGGGCGAGTCCGGGCTCTCCCATCTTCTGAGCTCCCCCTCCGGGCCCTGGGAGGCCGCCACTGGAGCCCTGCCTCTTTCTGGCAGGGAGCATCGAGTACAGCTGTCCGGCTTCCAACGAGTGCGAGATCACCAAGCGGAGACGCAAGGCCTGCCAGGCCTGTCGCTTCACCAAGTGCCTGCGGGTGGGCATGCTCAAGGAGGGTGAGCACGGGGCACGGGCCCGGGTGCATGGGGCTGGGGTGGGCAAGGCCTGGAAAGTTCTGGTGGAATCTACTGGGCAGGAGGGCTCTGTACAGTAAGCCACCCCCAGCCCCATGGACACAGCCCTATCCTAAATTCAAGGAGTACGTCTGGACCGTGTCCGAGGTGGGCGCCAGAAGTACAAGCGGCGGCCCGAGGTGGACCCGTTACCCTTCCCAGGCTCCTTCCCTGCTGGACCCTTGGCTGTAGCTGGAGGCCCTCGGAAAACTGGTGAGAGTGCTATGGGTCCTTGAAGTTCAGGTTCAGATGGGGCCGGGACATGAGAGGCCTGTTAGGTGTCTGTCACCCAGAATGGGTATCGTGGGCATTGGGCTCTTGGTTTTCCTTTCATTTGTTGGCAATACAACTCCCTGAAGTATTTTTGAAAATACCTTTTTTTATTATTTTTTTTTAATATTGTTTTTTTAAAATTTATTTATGATAGTCACACACACACACACAGAGAGAGAGAGAGGGGCAGAGACACAGGCAGAGGGAGAAGCAGGCTCCATGCACTGGGAGCCCGACGTGGGATTCGATCCCGGGTCTCCAGGATCGTGCCCTGGGCCAAAGGCAGGCGCCAAACCGCTGCGCCACCCAGGGATCCCCTGAAAATACCTTTTTTAAAAATCAGTCCTTGAGTAGTACACCTGGGAACTGGGAAAGATTTTTCTCATACTCAGAACCTGTCCATGAACTTGATTTCCCTGGGAGATGGTGAGAGCCCTTCCTGAGAGCAGTGTCCAGGCCTGGCTGTCCAGTGGCTATGAGGAAGGCTGCAGGGGAACTAATTTGGGCAAGACACTTGACTCCGAAGGGGCCTGCAAGGGGATGAATTCGAGTGCCTCTTCCATCTGTCACTGCAGCTCCTGTAAATGCACTGGTGTCTCACCTGCTGGTGGTAGAGCCCGAGAAGCTCTATGCCATGCCTGACCCAGCAGGCCCTGACGGACACCTCCCAGCTGTGGCTACCCTCTGTGACCTCTTTGACCGAGAGATTGTGGTCACCATCAGCTGGGCCAAGAGTATCCCAGGTAAAGGGCCGGGGTGATGTGGGGCTTCCCTCTGTAGCCAGGCCATGCCTGGCTCTGGTGAGCTTGTTCAGCCAGGTCTGCTTCCCACTACCCTCCAGGCTTCTCGTCACTGTCACTGTCTGACCAGATGTCAGTACTGCAGAGTGTATGGATGGAGGTCTTGGTGTTGGGTGTGGCCCAGCGCTCACTGCCACTGCAGGATGAGCTGGCCTTTGCTGAGGACCTGGTCCTAGATGAAGAGGGGGCACGAGCAGCTGGCTTGGGGGAACTTGGGGCTGCCCTGCTGCAGCTGGTGAGGCGACTGCAGGCCCTGAGGCTGGAGCGTGAGGAATATGTCCTGCTGAAGGCTCTGGCCCTTGCCAATTCAGGTGAGTCCATGGTGAGCACTGACAGGCGTCTCCAGGAGGCCCTCTAGTCTATAACCCTGATTGTGGCACCATCTCATCTCACAGATGATAAAAATTGGGGATTAGGGATGAATAGTGTTTTGTTTCAAGTCCCAAAGGTGAGGGCAGGCCCAGGAACTACATGTAGGATTTGGAGCTCTAGGGCCATCCTTATGTGGACAGGTGAACAATTCAGTGGGAGGGAAGTGGGGGGGAAGTCAAAAGGTGGCCATAGGTGAGGAAGAAAGGGTGGGCCATGGCTCATGGGCAGGAGCAGTGAGTGTTGCCCCAATAAGCCTATCAGATCTTCATCTGGCTCCTCCTCAGGCCCCATCCCACAGTGCTCAAGCAGATGTGGGCTTAGCCATTTCTGGAGATGGTCCATGTCAACAGCATCTTCCCCCTCCTTGCAGACTCCGTGCACATTGAGGATGCCGAGGCTGTGGAGCAGCTGCGAGAAGCTCTACATGAGGCCCTGCTGGAATATGAAGCCGGCCGGGCAGGCCCCGGAGGGGGTGCTGAGCGGCGGCGGGCAGGCAGGCTGCTGCTCACACTACCGCTCCTACGCCAGACAGCGGGCAAAGTGCTGGCCCATTTCTATGGGGTGAAGCTGGAGGGCAAGGTGCCCATGCACAAGCTATTCCTGGAGATGCTCGAGGCCATGATGGACTGAGGCAAGGGGTGGGCATGGGTGGGGGTGCTGGCAGGACCCGCCCGGAATGGGTTCAGCCCCAAGGGGGCAGAGCTGGGGTCTGGGCAGTGCCACAGCCTGCTGGCAGGGCCAGGGCAATATCATCAGCCCCTGGGAACAGGCCCTACGCCCTCCCCTCCCCTCTCCCAGGGGGTCTTAGAAGCTGGGAATGTGTGCGCCCAGGCTCTGGGCACAGTGCTGCCCCTTGCAAGCCATAACGTGCCCCCAGAGTGTAGGGGGCCTTGCGGAAGCCATAGGGGGCTGCAGGGGACTTGTGTGTGTGTGTTGGGGGCGGGGGCAGAAGCCTGATCTCAGGGAGGGAAGGGAGTGGAGGCAACCGTCTCCCAGTGGGTGATGCTTTTGCTGCTGCTTAATCCTACCCCCTCTCCAGAGCAGAGGGGGATTTGGAGAGCAAAGGCCCCTGCCCCCTTCGCTCCTCTCCTCATCATTTGCATTGGGCATTACTGCCCCCCCCCTTGAAGCAATAACTCCAAGCAGGCTCCAGCCCCTGGACCCCTGGGGTGGCCATGGCCCCCCATCAGCTCCCACCCAGCCTCCTCAGGGGGTAGTGAGAGCACTGCCTCTATGCCCTGCAGAGCAATAACACTATATTTATTTTTGGGTTTGGCCAGGGAGGTGCAGGGACATAGGGCAAGCCAGGGCCCAGAGCCCTTGGCTGTACAGAGACTCTATTTTAATGTATATTTGCTGCAAAGAGAAACCGCTTTTGGTTTTGAACCTTTAATGAGAAAAAGAAATATATCGAGCTCAAGAACATCGTGTTTCTCGTGTGTCACTGGGTCACGGGTGGGGATACACGACAGACTAGCAAATAGGCTAGATATAAACAAAAACATACACGGTTACAGACTTCAAAATTAGTATCTGGCACGATTAAGTCTCGGTTTCCTCATCACTCAGCAGCATGTTGGGGATCCCGCGACTGATGGGGAACAGACGTCCAGACTCTGGGCACTGCAGGGTGCCCTCCAACACATCCACCTGCGGGGAAGCAGGGAACAGAGCTGAGTACCCGCAGCCTCGGGCTGTGGCTGGGTGGCCGGGGAAGCAAGTGATGGGCTAGTTCTCACCTCCAGCAGCACGTGGTGCATCTGCCTCAGGAATTTCTCATCATGCTCATACCCTTCAATCGGCCCTTTGGGTACCTCGACCAGATGCAACTGTGGGCAAAGGCCTAAGTCATCTCCGGGCGTCCCGCCCCTCGCTCTGGGCTGGCGGTGAGACCACTCCCCCCACCCCCCCGTAAGGTGAACACGGGCGTGGGGGAGGGTCCTCACGGTATCCGCCGCCTCCAGAAGCGCCGCCCACTCCACCTTGGGTATCATACGCGCCACGAAGTCGGGATTGAACTCCACGGGGTTGATGCGGACCTCGGTGGCCTGCAGGGTGGAGGGCTTCTGTTAGGGACCAGAGCCCGGTTTCTCCATTCCGCCCAGGACATGGCCGCGAGCCTGCCCCCCCCCCCCGCCGTTACCTGGAGGCGCAGAGGGAAGCCACGGGGCCCCACCCCCCGCACATGCGAGCTCAGCAGGTTGTGGGTGAGCAGCTTCATGTCGCGGTAACGCGCTTTCCCCAGGCCGAAACCGGAGGAAAGCAGACACTCCTCGCGTCACTTCCGGAACCGCTCTAGTCTCTGTCCTATTGGACGGCTCGGACCAGCGGAAGTGGCAGGCATACCGGAAGTTCTCGGGCTAGCCGGGGCAGAGGTATTTGAAGAGCTTGGTCGGGTCACGCGCTGCTACCGGAAGCGTCGTGGCAGAGGACTGCGGCGTAGCGCCAATGGCTTCCATTCACTACAGATCACGCACAGTGTAAATCATATGTAAAGCCGCCGCAGTGCAGGGGCCTTTGTTGAATGCAAAATAAACATGTTTTTCTCCTACACGGGCGGCCTGACACCATCGTCTCCTGCCCCTCGCTTCCGGGTAAGGAAACGCTGCAGTTAATCCGTAAATTACGCCCACCACAAGAGCGACAACCCATCCTTGCACGCAAATAAGCTGCGCTGCTGTCGAAAGCCCCGCCCACTTGTAACTGCCCTGGTTGTCCAGCCCCTGAGGTAAATAAGCCGAGCGCCCCAGAAGCTCCGCCCCTTGCTCGCGCCCCGACGCCTGCGCAGTGGCGGAGCCTGCGGTGGGCGGGCATGACTGATGCTCCGCCTCTCGCGGGATCCCGCGGGGCTTATCCTGCTAGGCCCCGCCCCTCGCCGCGCCTGGGCCGCGGGGGCCGGGCGGTCGTGCGCGCTGGGATCGGCGTGCAGCTGCTTTCGTTGGACGTCCTGACCGGCCGGGTGGGCTCGGGTTTCGTCCCCGCGGCTGCCTTCGGGTCTGCAGCATAGGCAGTGTCGACAGCCGGAGGGTGCCAGCAACGAGGCAGGGACTGGACGCTTGGCGGGGCCCACGGTTTCAGAAGCGCCGCCTCCGCTATGGCCCCGATCAAGGTGACCGCTGGCCGGGCCAGCTTGAGTTCCCCTCCCGCGCGTCTTCCCGGTGCCCTCCGTCCCGCCTGCGGGGAGAGAATCACCCTCCTTCCTGCCCTCAGGACCCCTGCCCGCCGCGCCGGACGCTCCTCCTGCGGTTCTCCCTCAGCCACACCCTTTTGCAGTCTCGCCAGTTTTAGGGACTTGTACCCCATCCACTGGACAGCTCCCAAAGCTCGCGAGCCTTCCCCTCGCCCCCTTTCCATTTCCACCATGCGGCACCAAGATGGGTCTCCACCATCTTTAGGGGTCTCCTCCGCCTTCCGGAACCGTCTCCTTTGCCGCAGGGCGCCTTTTCAACCCTCATACGTGCCCCTCCCCTCCAAACCTTCCTGTACGTTCTTGTTATGTTTTTGGGCATCATTCTTCACCCCATCGTCTGAAACAGGTGTTTTCTGTTAAAGCCCCTGTTTTGTCTCCTCCTTTCCGCTTCTCCCGCAGCTAATTCCCACCCTTCTGCTGAGTCTTTCAAACCCTCACCTGGAATGATCCTGGGAACCCTCCACATTCTTCTGAAACCTCCTCCTCCTTTATCTTCCTCCCACTCCCTGATTTGTCCTCCCTTCCGGTATTTCCTCTGGCTCCATGAAACCCTCACACACGTTCCTAAGTAGACTAATCCATCCCCTTTGAGAAATTCCTTTTATTTTATTCCCCCTCCCCAACTTTTCACCTTCTGCTGGTCTCCCTTTTTCTCTTCCTGAGAGCTGGACACTCAGACCTGGCCAGGGTCCTCTCCCTCCCTGTTGTCAGCGTCTCCTCCTCACCCCTTAGATAGGCCCCATGCATCTCCTCCCCTGCCTGCAGATCCCACTTCTTTCTGGTAAGAAAGAGACTCCTTGATTACTCAATCCCTTGCAACACCCAGAGAGGCCTCCTCCTCCATTTTCTGTTGTCACCAACAAACTGGTGAAAGGAATAGGGCCATCTTGAAACCTGGAGGATGTGGAGTAATCAGGCGGTGGGGGGAAGAGGGTAGGGTGGCAGGGAGGGACTGCTGGAAACTGGCTGGTTAGGACATTACAACTCTGTCAACTCTGCTCCACTAGAAGGAACTGCCTGGTCTGGTTTAACACCTTTCCTTTGGCCTCTTTACCCACCCCCTCACTCCCCAACTCCTTATTTCCTTGTCTGGCCTATCTCTAGTCATCTTTGCTCACTTTTGAAGTAACCAAAGTAACTCCTCATGAAGCCATTCCCTCTAGGTGGGAGATGCCATCCCTTCGGTGATGGTTTTTGAAGGGGAGCCTGGGAACAAGGTGAACCTGGCAGAGCTGTTCAAGGGCAAGAAGGGGGTGCTGTTTGGAGTCCCTGGGGCCTTTACCCCTGGCTGTTCCAAGGTGAGACCACCCTTCTGGGACTCCCTGGTTGGAATCTTGTGTACACATCTGTATTGTTCCTAAGTCCTAGGGCAGCTTGCGACAAGAACACATAGATAAGGTGACAGAAGGCCTATCAGAGCACTCAGAAAATAAGTGGAGGTGGTGAAAAGGTAGTGACATCAGGAATGCAGGAGAAAAGGGTCTTGTGATTAAGTCCCACCTGTCTTCTTGATGTTGCTGGTGATGGGCACCATGGAAGGTGCTTGGGTAAATAAAGTATAGTCATGTTCCTGGGATGAAGTTCATGGTGACTACCAAACACTCGAGTTTGGACCTGAGCTTCCTTGTGGCTTACGCGTTTCTAACGGTCTGATCAAAGATATTCAAAAGGAAATGAGGATTGCCTGGAGATAAAGGGTAGGCCAATGAGCAGAGGCAGTTATCCCTCTGCTGACCCTTCATTTCCCCTCCTAGACCCACCTGCCAGGATTCATGGAGCAGGCTGAGGCTCTGAAGGCCAAGGGGGTCCAGGTGATAGCCTGTCTGAGCGTTAATGATGTCTTCGTGACTGAGGCATGGGGACGAGCTCATAACTCAGGAGGCAAGGTGAGATGTGGACCCTGCAGGGGGTCAGGGGCCAGGCAGGGGATTGTTTTTTTGACCTTTACTTTCTCCTTAGGTTAGGCTGTTGGCTGACCCCACTGGGGCCTTTGGGAAGGTGAGTGCACACCAGCAACCCCCACTCTAGAGGGTGGTCCCTGTGCCGGGCCTTGGACACAGGAACTGGGAGGGACATGGCTAATGTGAGGAACAGCTGGTGGGGACAGGGCTTGGTCTATTCTGGAAGTTTCTAAGCCTTGTCTCTGCTTTTTCTTTTAGGAGACAGATTTGTTACTAGATGATTCATTGGTATCTCTCTTTGGAAATCATCGGCTCAAGAGGTAAAAGTAGGAGGGTCTTCTGTGGGGTTCCCCTGCACCCCTTCGACCTCCATTCCCAGCCTTCAGGCCTAGGCTGTTGTAATTGGCTTGGTGTCTCTCTCTTAAAGATTTATTTATTTTAGAGAGAGCGAGAGCATGCACACAAGTGTGCAGAGGTGAGCAAAGGGAGAGGGAGAGAGAGTCTTAAACAGACTCCATGCTGAGTGCAGAGCCTGATGAAGGGCTTGATCTCATGAACCTGAGATCATGACCTGAGCGAAAACCAAAAGTCAGATGCTTCACTGCACTACCCAAGTGCCCCTGGCCCAGTCTCTCTTTCTGGCAGGTTCTCTATGGTGATAGAGAATGGCATAGTGAAGTCCTTGAATGTGGAGCCAGATGGTACAGGCCTCACCTGCAGCCTGGCCCCCAACATCCTCTCGCAGCTCTGAGTGCCTGGGCCCAGATATACTCCTTCCACTCTTTCATGTTGCACCTGCCCAGCCCTGGACAAAGGGCCCACTCTGCTCCAACTTCAACGAGGTCCACCCAGTGGGAATTGTGACCAAATTTCTGCAATAAACATTTCAGGTTCTCAATGAGTCCTTGTTTTTTTTTTTTTTTTTTTTTTTTAAAGATTTATTTATCTGCGAGAGAGTACAGGTGTATTGGGGGGTAGTGGGGGGTGGGGAGAGGCAGAGGGAGAGAAGCAGACTCCCTGCTGAGCTTGGAGCCTGGACATAGGGCTCAATCTCATGAACCTGAGATCATGACCTGAGTTGAAATCAAAAGAGTCAGATGCTTAATCAACTGCACCACTGAGGTGCCCTTACTCCTCGATTTTGAATTGCTGATTTGCTGAGGGCCAGGCCTTAAGACAATCACAACTGTGAAGGTAGTGGGCAGGAGCCTAAGGGGTACTAATGAGGTGGGGGGCCTGATTTTATTAAGGACATAGGGAGAACATTTGAATGAAGTGTTATGAAGCATCAATATACAGGTTGGGAAAGGGCCAGTGGTCCAAAGAGCAAGGGACAGAGCAGTCTGTGTAGAGGGAATAGGCCCTAGGCATACACAAACTTGGCTTGCAGCCATGACATTTTTCTTTTTCTTTTTTTTAGATTTTTCTTCATTAGAGAGCTTGCTTGCATAGATAGGTGGAGTGGCAGACAGAGGGAGAGGGAGAAACAGACTCCCCATTGAGCAGAAATCCTGGCTTGGGACTTGATCCCAGGACCCTGGGATCACGACCTTCCTTGAAGGCAGACCTAACCAACTGCCTCGAAGGCAGACCTAACCACCTAACCAACTGAGCCATCCAGGTGCCCCAATGACCTTTTGCATTTGATCTCTGGGTGTTGGCTGACTTCATGTAGACTTTAAACCTCAGGGTAGGAGCTTTGGCTCTAGCTACCGCCCAACCTGGGCCAGGCTTTTGCCCCACCATTCTTTTAGACCGTGTCAAACCCCTCCCAGGAGCACCTGCACCCCAGGAAGGGCTTCTGGCACTTTGGGCCCCACTGATAGAAAGGGCTCCATCTGTGGAGGCAGTACTGGCTTAATCCAGGAGAGCTTCCTGGGAGAGGAGTCTAGGTGAGTTGTTGGGTAGAGGAGGAGATGCCAGTGAGGCCTGATTGGTGCTGGCTGTACTGTGAGGGGCTGTGGGTCAGGAAGGCCAGCAGGGATTGGGGCTGCAGGCCATTGCTGTGTGTAGGCCCTGCTCTTGGGCCTCTGCTTTTTGCCTGTGGGAAGTCTTGCACTTGGCATCAGGCAGCAATCACTAGGCCTCTGCTGTGTTTAGGAGCTCATAGTCTTAAGAAGGGTGGACACTTAGAGCTGCCTCTTGAGGTGTAGTAAAAATCCTCATGATCCTGGGGGGTGTGAGCCTGAGGGTCTCAGGTGGAGAGAGTGCTGGAATCAGCGGCTAGGCTCTCTGAGCCTCCTGTCACGTTGGCTGTGTGCCCTACTGCTCTTCCCTGCAGAGCTTATGCTGCCCTGGCACCTCTCCACTGTAAGCACAAGCCAGTCTCTGTTGCTGCCACTCAGCAGCTTGTTTCTTTCGCTCCTGGACTCTTCGTCTGAGGCCCAGGAAGGCCTCTGAGAGTGAGTGTCACCTCCAGGGTCCTGTTGCTATTTCCTGGACCTCTTGGCCAGCCTGAGGAGGCTTCTAGGGCCTGTGTAGCCCCTTTGGTGAGCATGATGGGAGTCAGGTGTGAGTGCGGGTGGCCACCTATCTTAGCTTGCTGGGGTGGGTGGTGTCCTGTTAGCTGCTGTGGATATTGGAAGCCCTGGGATCAATGATCACATTATAAGAGAATGGGGCAGAGCTTCAGCTCCTGGGTGGACCTGTTGTATTTCAGGCTTGTAGATAAAGGGCAGGCCAGGGCATAGTGGCCTAGACCAGTGGGTTCTGGAGGCCTGGAGCTGTAACTGGCAGGGCAGTGTAGGCGTGAGCTTCCTGGGCTGTTGGTGGCCAAAGGGCTAATGTTTTTGTTTGTTTTAAGATTTTATTTACCTATTCACGAGAGACACACAGAGGTGGAGACACAGACAGTGAGAGAAGCAGGCTCCCTCTGGGGAGCCTAATGTGGGACTCAATCCCAGGACTCCAGGATCACACCCTGAGCCAAAGGCAGACGCTCAATGGCTGAGCCACCCAGGTGTCCCAAAAGGCTAATCTTAAACCATGAGATATTCACCCAACACATCTCCAGATAAAACTCACCCACCTGTCCTGACCTTCCCAAGGGCACAGGAACTCTGAACTGGAAGGCCAAGGATTTTACTTGGTATTAGTAGTTCTGGCCTTTTCTGGGTCAGGAGTCCCTTTGAGGAGCTGCTGAGAGTTATGCCCTTTTCCTTAGAATGTGCACATCTTCAGGTGCCTGGGGGGCTCAGTCGGTTAAGCATCTGCCTTCTGCTCATACCATGATCCTGGGGTTGGGCCGTGTCCTGTGTTGGGCTCACTGCTCAGCCAGAAGTCTGCTTCTCCATCTTCTTCTGAGGCTCCCCTGCTTGTGCGTGTGTGCTCTCTTTCTCTCTCTCCCCCAAATAGATAATAAACAAAAATCCTAAAAAAAAAAAAAGCTGCCGACCTTGGGTAGGCTATTTAGTTTCTCTGCTTCCCTCATCTTTAAAGTAGGAATAATCCAACCTACATCATATGGCTGTTGGGAACAAATGAGAGAGTTTAAGTAAAGCATTGGGCACAGTGCCTAGCATGCAGTAAAAAAACAAAACACGGTTAAAAAGAGAAAAACAACAAAAGAATCCTTGCTCTCCACCATGCAGCCTGCATGTCAGTAGAGAAAGAACTAGAAAGACACCTGGGTGGCTCAGTTGGTTGAGTATCTGACTCTTAGTTTCAGCTCAGGTGATCTCAGAGTCCTGAGACCTCATCTGGCTCCACTGAGCTCAGAATCTGCTTGGGATTCTCTCCTTTTCTCCATCTCTGCCCCTCTGTGCATGCTCTCTCTCTTAAATAAATAAATACATACATACATACTTTAAAGATTTTTTTTTTAAAGATTTTATTTATTTATTCATGAGAGACACAGAGACGGGGGTAGGGGGGAAGCAGAGACACAGGCAGAGGGAGGAGCAGGCTCCATGCAGGGAACCTGACACGGGACTCGATCCCGGGTCTCTAGGATCACACCCTGGGCTGAAGGCAGTGCTAAACCGCTGAGCCACCCAGGCTGCCCTTTTTTTTTTTTTTTTTTTTTTTTTTTTTTTAAATTTTTTTTTTAATTTATTTATTTATGATAGTCACAGAGAGAGAGAGAGAGAGAGAGAGAGGCAGAGACACAGGCAGAGGGAGAAGCAGGCCCCATGCACTGGGAGCCTGACGTGGGATTCGATCCCGGGTCTCCAGGATCGCGCCCCTGGGCCAAAGGCAGGCGCCAAACCGCTGCGCCACCCAGGGATCCCCCAGGCTGCCCTTTTTAAAGATTTTTAGGGGATCCCTGGGTGGCTCAGCGGTTTGGCGCCTGCCTTTGGCCCAGGGCGTGATTCTGGAGTCCCGGGATCGAGTCCCACGTCGGGCTCCTGGCATGGAGCCTGCTTCTCCTCCTCCTGTGTCTCTGCCTCTTTCTCTCTCTGTGTGTGTCTATCATAAATAAAAATAAATAAATAAATCTTAAAAAAAAAAGATTTTTATTTGTTGAGGGGCAGCCCGTATGGCTCCCCACCACGAAGATGGACCTTGAATCTCATGAATTCTTTAAGATTTTTATTTATTGGGCAGCCCCCATGGCGCAGCGGTTTAGTGCTGCCTGCAGCCTGAGGTGTGATCCTGGAGACCCAGGATCAAGTCCCACATTGGGCTCCCTGCATGGAGCCTGTGTCTTTGCCTCTCTTTCTCTCTCTCTCTCTCTGTCTCTATGAATAAAATCTTAAAAAAAAAAGATATTTATTGATTCATGAGAGACACAGAGAGAGAGAGGCAGAGACACAGGCAGAGGGAGAGGCAGTGGGACTCGATCCTGGGTCTCCAGGATCAAGCCCTGGGCCGGAGGCAGGCGTTAAACCACTGAGCCACCCAGGGATCCCCCCGACTCTGCCATTTTAAACATCTGCCTTCTATCTCACAATCCAATGTGGCTGTTTGAGTTCCAGCCACCACATCTAGAGTCCAGCCAGCAAAAAAAAAAAAGGAGGAAATGGGGAACAGGAGATCGAAGGTCCACACCAGCTGTCTTTTAAGAAGGTGTTCTGGAAGCTCTCATGTATCATTTCCACTTAAATCTCACTGGCCAAAACTTAGTTGCTTGGTCACACTAGCTACAAGAAGGGCTGGGAAATGTCAACTCTATTACTGGCTGCTATGTTTCTTTCTTTCTTTCTTTCTTTCTTTCTTTCTTTCTTTCTTTCTTTCTTTCTTTCTTTCTTTCTTTCTTTTTCTTTCTTTCTTTAAGGATTTTATTTATTCATTCATGAGAGACACAGAGCGAGTGAGAGACACACACAGAGAGAGAGGCTGCCATGTTTCTAACTAAAAAGCCAGGGGTTCCATTGCTAAAGGAGAAAGGGAAAAAGGAGACTGGGAAGAAATGAGCATTGTGGGCTACACAGGGATCGTGTCTGAGCACAGGGACCTTTGGGGGCTCCATTGCCCCCAAAGGATGGGAGCACCTGCTGCCACTCCCATCAGCATGGCAGGGACACATACTAAGCTGTCCCATGTCCCTGTGTGGTCACATCATATCCCCAGTGATCCCTCTCCAGCCTCTCTCCTGTTCCCTGTAATTTTAGTCGCCACAGTCACCCCAATTCCCCAGCCTTGGGGGCCTCCAGCCTCTTTAGCATCTCCTGACAATGTTCACCACCTGGGATGCCCCTCCCTTTCCTACAGCTGGCCTAAGTGCTCTACCTTTTGAGGTCCCGGTGGATCCTGTTAGCTGAGGACCATGTCTATTCCGGCCCTGCCTAAACTAGTCTTCGTGGGCCACCCCCTCAGCTTCAAGGATGGAGGAACTTTTGACATATAATTCATATATCATAAAATTCACTCTTTAAAAGTGCACAGTTCTGAGCACGCCTGGGTGGCTCAATGGTTGAGCGTCTGCCTTTAGCTCAGGTTATGATGCTAGGGTCCTGGGATGGAGTCCTGCCTCGGGCTCCCTGCAGGGAGCCTGCCTCTCCCTCTGTCTGTGTCTCTGCCTCTCTGTGTTTCTCATGAATGAATAAATAAAATCTTTTTTTTTTTAAAGTACACAATTGAGTGGTATTTAGTCTCACCAAATTGCACTACTGTCCCCACTACGAAGATAGACTTTGAATCTCAGTGACTTCTCCCAAGATGAAGTTGCTCGTCTATTCTGAGCCACAGGCGTGTGCACACACTAGTTATGAAAGGTGTGTTTCAACTTCCAGGGCTCTGCTCGCCCACATGAGCCCTTCGGGTCACATTAGGTGTCTTGCACTTTGTGACTATTTGCCGAGCGTCATCTGGGTGCCGGGTCCCCTGCTGGGCTCTAGGGACACGGAGATGCCGTGCGACTCCAGGCACAGAGCTCCTGTCCTAATGGAGCTGGTGCTTGTCTCGACATGCCTATAGTCCCACGGGGGGTACCAAACCATGGGTGAGCGCTTACAGTGTGTGGGAGGGGGGCTGTGAAGGGGAAGCCCAGACTTAGGTGTTCAGGGTATGACAGGATGCTGCCCACCAGCCCACTCCTCCAGGGGGTAATGACTTCTAGCTGTGGCTAGAAATGAAGAGACAGTCCAGTGAACAGAGGCAGAAAGGGTGTTCTAGGTGGTGGGAACAGCCTTGCTACAGCCCAGAGGTGAGGGAGGGGAGTCAGGTCTGGCCTGAGTGGACCATGTAAAGGCAGGGATTTGGGGGTTTTGTCCACAAGCCACAGCCTGGTTGTCTTCTCTTGGTGGACATCTGGGTGCCTCCAGCATTTGGCTAGAGGCAGCTTCAGAGACTTTTCTATTTTTGTTTCCTCTCGGGCTCCTTCCTCAGGGCATGTTCCCAGATGCTGGAGTGTTGGGTCTGGTGGTTTTATTGGTCTCTGGAACTCCGAGGCTGTTTTGATAGCCACCAGTGATGTGTACATGTGCTTCTCTCCTCACCATGTGCCAATCCGAGTTTTACCTTCTGGATTTATTTTTGCTAGCTTAATGGGTATTTAATGGTACCTTGGAGCTGCCTTTAATGCATATGTTGTTAATTATGAGGGAGGCTGACAACCTTGAGGCTTGGCATTGTTCTCCCCATGCTTGCTGACTGGGTGCTGCTCTCCTGCCAGACAGCAACAATGCAACAAGAAGCCAGGGAGCTGCTGCGGCTTTTGGAGTCCCCCAAGCAACCTTGGGTTTACCCTTGATTTTACTGACCCTGCGCCCCTCTGCACCTCACTTCCCTTGCCTCTGACATAGGAATTCATTTGCTCAAAAACATGACTTGGGCTGCCTTCTGTTTTTTTGGCTCTACCTCTTTCTGGCTGTGTGGCCTTAAGCAAGTGACTTAACCTCTCTATATGTCATTTTCTTCATCATAAAAGGGGGATGATAATCATAGCAGCTGCATTTTACATCTGTGGAGAGGATTAAGTGCTTAATACATGTGGAGAACAGAACTGGCCCAGGTAAGTGATCCGCACGTGTTGGCACGCTCATGGTTTCTGTGGCTCGGCACCTTGTGAACGAGGGAAGATGCAGAGCAGAATGAGGCTGGTAGGGAAAAGGACTGGGGTCTGCTTCAGAAAGGGGAAATCTTTTCTGAGAAATAGGCTATTAAGCAAGACCAGCATGGTGGGAAGGAGCCAGATGTGGGGTGTTGGGGGGGAATTTGTGTGTGTGTGTGTGTGTGTGTGTGTTTCAGGCTGGAGGAACAGCAAGTCCCCAGGGGTCCAGGGTGAGAGTCTAGCAGCAGAGAGGGCCCTGTGACAGATGAGGTTGGGGGGAGCACGGGATGAGGCTGTGTGGACAGCTGGGGCCACTCGGCAGGGCCTCTACCTCAAAGGACATGGTGAGAGGTTGGGACTTGATTCAAAGCAGAGGGAGAAGCCATGGGAGGGTTTTAAGCAGGAAAGGGTCATGAGCCAGTATTTCCAAAAGACTCCTTGGATGCTGGGTGGAGGCCGCCTGGAGGAGGATTGGTGGCTGACATCTGCCTCTGTAAAAGTCTCAGGGTGAGGCAGGGCGGGTGCCCCCTAGGAGTGTAGGGGCACGCTGGGGAGAGCAAGCTGAGTGTCAGGTGCTGTGTCATGCTCTCTTCAGCTGCTAGGGCCCATGTCTTGCAGGTGTACCCTGAGTCTCTGGGGACCCAGCCTGGCACCAGACCTCCCTGACTCTGGCTTCCCATGGCCTCCTTCCACCTGGGCAGCTCATTCAGGCCATTCTGCTGAGCATTTCTGCTCCTGTCTGGCTCTGGCTCCACTATTTCTACCCCTAGATGGTGGATAGGAAAACCAACCCTTTTTAGCACTTGGGTGGAGACCCAACACCAGAGGCTCAGGTGCCCTGAAGGTCCTGGAAGCTATGTTTTGTTTTTAATTCTTGAGATTGGGGCCCTGAAACTTCTGGTTAGGGAACTGGGCCCTGGCCAGGCCACAGGGGTGCCAGATGGGGCTCTGGGCCTGCTGTAGGCAAAGGGCAAAAGTGGTTCTCTGACCCAGCCCTGGTCGGTCCCAACTTGCCCTGGCCTCCCCAGCTCTGCTTCCTCAAACCTGAGAGCCCTCCTGCCTCTGGCCTTTGGGGTTGGACCAGGGCTTAACCAGACAATTCAAAACCAGATGAGTGGGATCCCTGGGTGGCGCAGCGGTTTGGCGCCTGCCTTTGGCCCAGGGCGCGATCCTGGAGTCCCGGGATCGAATCCCACATCGGGCTCCCGGTGCATGGAGCCTGCTTCTCCCTCTGCCTGTGTCTCTGCCTGTCTCTCTCTCTGTATGTCTATCATAAAAATTAAAAAAAAAAAAAAAAAGTTCTGAGAAAGAATCAGAACTTTAAAAAAAAAAAAAAACAAAAAAAAAACCAGATGAGCCCTGTGCAGATGGGAAACTGAACCCTGAGGGAGGAGATTGTAGTTGACTATGTTGTCCATTTGTCTGTTTGTCTTCCTCTGTTTCTTGCCTGCTTCCTGGATCCCCATGCTGGCAATAGTGGGAACTGAATTTCCTTAAAAACTGCCAGAGGGGTGCCTGGGTGGCTCAGTTGGCTAAGCGTCAGACTCTTGATTTTGGTTCAGGTCATGATCTCGGGGTTGTGGGATTGAGGTCTGTGTTGGGCTCCGCACTCAGCACCCAATCTGTTTGTCCCTCTCTCTCTTACCCCTCTGCCCCCACCGTATGCATGCACTCTCTCTCTCTTTCTTTTTTTTTTCTCTCTTTCTCTCAAAACAGATAAATAGATAAAATCTTTAAAAAAAAAAAGGCCAGAAAAAGATAACTGAGAAGGGCAGTCTCTATAGCACTGCAAATATTTAAGATATTTTTCAACAAGACAGAGTTAAATGATGATGGACTAGGGGCACCTGGGTGGCTCAGGTCATAATCCTGGGGTCCTGGGATCAAGCCCCGCATCGGGCTCCCTGCTCAGGGGGGAGTCTGCTTCTCTCTCCCTCTCCCTCTGTGCTCTGCCTCTCTCTCAAATAAATAAGTAAAATCTTTTTAAAAATAAGCCAAAAAATGTCTCTATGACATAGATTTTAAAAAACATAAATGATGATGGACTAGCAACATAGTAGAATACCACACAGCCATTACAAAGGCTAAAACCAATGAACAGAAAAGAAGCAGACTGTAAAATATTTTAAGAAGGATGAAGGTACACAGCCCTGGATGTGTGGTTGCATCCACCTGTTATAGATGGACATGGGCACAACATCTCAGAAGGGATACAGAACATGCTAGCAGGGGATCTGAAAGTAGGGGTTGGGATGAGGGGGGAAACTTGTGTCTTCTCTATACCGTGATGTACTCTTTTTTAAAAAAGATTTTGTTTATTTATCTATTTAGAGAGCGTAGTGGGTTGGGGCAGGAAGGGAGGGAGAGAAAGAATCTTCAAGTGACTCCCCACTGAGCAGGGAGCCTGATGTGGGGCTCAATCCCACAATCCTGAGATCAAGACCCGAGCAAAAGAATCAGTTGCTCAACCCACTGAGCCATCAGGTGCTGCCCCTCCTTATGCACTCTTGACATTTTTGGCCATGTTTCTGAAAAAAAGTTTCAAGGGAAAATCTAGCCAAAGGCAAGGAACTACTGCTAAACTGACAAACATCTCTCAACAGCTAACTCAGCCTTGAAATCCCAGGCTCATCCCTCGCATCCACTCTCCCCGAAGCCTCCCTCTGCCTGATTCAACTAAACCAAGTCACAGAACCAGCTGGAGGTGCAGCTTAGCGTGTGTGGAGTGACGGATGTGAAAGCAATTGGTGACACAGTCCCTGCCTCTGAGGCTTGAGGAAGGGTGTGTGCCTGAGTGATGTTGAGCAAGGCAGGGCACCCTCCTGGCTGCCAAGGATGAGGCCCAGTTACTGTGCTTGGCTAACCCAGAGCAAGTGTTCCGGGAGGACTTCCTGGGCTGGCATCCTTGGGGGGTACAAATAGAAGTTCAGATCCACTGGGGGGCAAATCTGGACAGACCCTTGATATTATTAACACTAAAGATAACAACCACACCGGGGACCATTTAATGAACACTTCAGCAGAGTAATGGCTCCTGGAATCCACCTAAGGACTCTCTGATAGGATTATCTGCATTTCCAGATGCTTCTTGAGAGGGTTGCACAAGGGGATGTGCTCTTCTGCTAACAACCCTGCAGGGCTTCCCATTGCCTAGGGAGACCTGGCTCGCCCTGGCCATGAGCTCCTTGCTTTTTACACACTGGCCCCACTGCCTTCCTTTAGTTGGTTCTACCACTTCATAGCTGTGTGACTTTGGGTGAGTTAGTAGCCTCTCTGAGTCTGTTTCCCCCTCTGTGAATTGGAGACCTTTAGTCACATATTAATCCAACACAAATAAGTCCAGAAGTGTAAAGTACACGGGCAGGGGGATGGGAGAGAGAGACTCTCAAGCAGGCTCCCCACTGAATGTGGAGCCTGATATAGGGCCCGATCCCACGATCCTGAGATCATGACCTGAGCCAAAACCAAGAGTCTGACGCTCAACCCGACTGAGCCACCCAGACGCCCCAAGTGTAACGTTCTTGTAACCATGGCTGGCTCCTGGTAAGCCTGTTTGCCATGGTTGTTGTTACCTTATATTTTATCAAGTCTAAGATGTCACCCATCGTAAAAGATGCCACTCAGGGAAAAAAGAATGCTGCCAGTTTACTATGTCCCAAGTCTCTTTCATCTTTCATCACTAGAACCTTCATTTTATACTTCCCAAAGGTGCTCTTTTTGACCTAGATGTAGATTCTTATCATATATAATTCTAAGGTACACATAAAAAGGAAAATAGAAGCAAAATGAATTGTTTACGGTGTTTGAAAAACTCCCATTTAGAGTCCAAGAGAAGTGCGATGTGTGTGTTTCAGAGCCACCTCCTCCTGTGAGCCATTGAGAGCAGCAGAGCAGCACCCTCTCAACTATCCATAAGGTAACCCTAAAGCCACCAGCCGCTGGAGGCAACTCGTAAGCCAGCTTCGTGATGGACTTTTGCCTCGAGAGTGCTACGGACAAGTCTAGTTCTCCTCCCTGGGGGCTTGCACCCTTTGCATCCTGGGCTTAAGCTCCTTGCCTCTGGGGCCTCCTTCCACACGCTGACACTGCCCTTTCTGCAAGGTTTGGTGCTTCTGAAGTGTGGGCTCAGGCAAAGCAATGACAACTATGTCAGGACCACAGCCAGCCCGGAAAGCAACTCTCCCAAGTAACCTGACTTGGAGATTTAATTAATTAATTAAAAGATTTTATTTATTCATGAGAGACACAGAGAGAGAGAGAGAGAGGCAGAGACACGGGCAGAGGGAGAAGCAGGCTCCATGCAGGGAGCCCGACCCGGGACTCAATCCTAGTTCTCTAGGATCACATCCTGGGCCGAAGGCAGGTGCTAAACCACTGAGCCACCCAGGGATCCCTGACTTGGAGATTGATTGATTGATTTATCCATTCATTTATTTATTTACTTATTTATTTAAAAAAGATTTATTTGTTTATGAGAGAGAGAGAGAGGCAGAGACACAACACAGGAGGAGGGAGAAGCAGGCTCCATGCTGGGAGCCTGATGTGGGACTCGATCTCGGGACTCCAGGATCGCGCCCTGGGCCAAAGGCAGGTGCTAAACCGCTGAGCCACCCAGGGATCCCCTGACTTGGAGATTTAAATGTAAGAAATAAAGTCTTGGAAGCAATGAAACATGAATGATTTCTGAACTTTGCACTGGCTGGTCTTCCAGCGGCCATAGAACCCTTGCACATTCTGTTCCCACGGTCTTCCATCCTCCCCTCTTTGCCTTCTTCACCCAATCATTCCCCATCTCAGCTTCCACATGTAGCCCTCTCTGGGATGCCTTCCCTCACCATCCCAGGTAGTCATTCCCTTCACAGTCCATGCACGTAGTATAGCTGCAATGACACATTCTGAGCACATGTGTGATTTTAGGAGGGTAGCCATCTCCCCAGTGTCCTGAGGCCTATGGGTGCGGGGATTATGTGGCTTTTACTACATTTCAGTACCAAGTCGTGTCTGGCAGGATGCCAGTGGATAAAAGAATGAATGGAGGTCCTGTAGCGAGCAGTTGGGGAATTGGGATGTACTCCTGGCCTGTTTGTCTATGAGATGTACTGCTGGCCTCTGCCCTATGCTGCTTCCCTCTGAGGCCAGAGTCCAAGCCACTTTTTTATACAGACGGGAAACTGAGGCCCGTGAGGTCACATGACTGGGGCCCAGACGTCCTGTCTCAGTCCAGTGTGCAGAGAGAATGAGGGAGGGTGGGGTACAGGAGAGGGGCTCGCGCCTGGCTGGGGGTCAGAGACTCGTTGGCAGCTTGTGGCAGCATCTGCCACAGGTTTCCCAGGTTGGAAGTGTGGCTTGGGTTAGTTTGAGAAATATGGGGCAGGGGTGGTTGGGGGCAAGCAAAGCCGGGCAAATCAGAAGATGCAGGTGTGGACACCCAGACTCACCACCCGAGGCCATCTCAAGTTTCAAGTTTCCAGAGAGGTGGAGGTCTTACCTACCATTGATCCCTGATCCCTGTGCCAGGAGAGCTGTGGGTGGCACTCCTGGGTGGTCCAGACCTCACCTTCCCCTGCTCACCTCTGTGCCAGCCCTTCGGAGATGCTGGGAGGATGTGGGGTGGTGAGGTGAGAGCTGAGGCAGAACTCTGGGGGTGTAGGGGCCCGCCTGCTCCCGGAAGGAGGAAGCTGCATAATGTGTCTGTGGCTGGGCCTGGGATCCCCAGCCAGGGGACTTCCTCTTCCTCTCAGGGCAGGTGTAGCTGCCACAGCACGACCAACACCCTGACCCTGTCATGGATGGGGGCAAGGGGCCCAGACTCAAAGACTTCCTGAGTGGGAGCCTGGCCACCTGGGTGAGGGGGCAGGTGGGAGGGGCCTGGGGAGGGAAGTGAGCAGCAGGGAGGGGCTGGTGCTGGGTTTGGAGCAGGTCCGCAGTTGGGGGTGGAGGTGCTGAGGGCAGGGGTGGTGGGCTCAGATGTGGGGCCGGAGAGGTCTAGGTAGCTGTGGGGCAGGAGGAGTCTAGACCCAGGGGCTAAAGGGAAGGAAGGGAAAGGGTAAGGAGGAAGCTGCAAGTGCGCTCAGGGGGCAGGTCGGAGGGGTTCCAGAGTCACTCTGCTGGTAGGGGAGTTCTGAATCTGACTGGCAGACCTGTCTTGGCTCCCCACAGGCACTAGGACTGGCCAGCCTGGTGGGAGAGGCCACGGAGCCCGAGGGGGAAGAGGATGAGGAAGGAGAGGGGCCCTTTTGCCCGGAGAAGAAGCTCTTGCATCTCAGCGATGGGGCCTTGCTCCTCCGGGTGCTGGGCATCATGTAAGAAGCCAGGGGCCAGCCTAGGGGTCTGAGGTGGACCCTCCCCCACACAGGTTGCTGGGAGGAGATTGAAGGCTGCTGGGTGGAGCCTGGTAGGGGGAGGCCGATATTGCTGCCCCCCTCCCCCACACCTAGCCCTCTGTGCCCATAGAGCTCCTAGTTCTGGAGGTGGACCTCGGATGGCCAGGGGCTGTGATGGTCCTGCAGCCAGGCGGGTGCGAAACTTGAACCACCTGTGGGTCAGGCTGAGGGACTTCTACCAGGTGAGGGGTTTCGGAAGGGGAGGCTGGGTTTGGAGGTCCCTGCCAGGAGGTCCCCCCTCTACCTCCTCTCTCCTCTGTCCCCAGGAGGAGCTGCAGCTGCTGATCCTGTCGCCGCCCCCAGACCTCCAGACATTGGAGTCTGACCCCTTCTCAGGTGCTCTCTCCTACCACCCCTTCCTGCTTCTATCCCCTCACCCCACCCCTAACTTTTTGTGGCCTGTGCTCTGCAGAGGAGGCAGTGGAGGAGTTGGAAGGCATCCTCCGGCTGTTGCTGGGGGCGTCAGTGCAGGTGAGCAGGGGAGGGAGGGTAGGGTCCAGCTTTGGCCCAAGAGGTGGGAGACTCCTGTGCCAGCATGTCCGCCCTGTCTCCCTGCAGTGTGAGCACCGGGAACTCTTCATCCGACACATCCAGGGCCTCGGTCTTGAGGTCCAGAGTGAGCTGGCTGCTGCCATCCAGGAGGTATTTGGTTGATAGCCTGGGCCTGCCACCTGGGGGCACCTTGCCCCTCACCTTCTTGGGCTGAAACGGTTCTCCCTACCCGCCCAGGTGACCCAGCCTGGGGCAGGTGGGGTGCTGGCCCTGGCTGGGCCTGAGCCTGGGGATCTGGAGCCGCCAGAGCTGGAGATGCTGTTCCGGAACCTGATGGGGGCTTTGTTAAGGCTGGCACGGGAGCGTGATGTGGGGGCCCAGGTAGGAGGTATTGTGACCCAGATATGTGGGGGGGGAGAGTTGGGGTTGGGAATTGAGGGTCTTGGACCAGCAGAACTGCAAGAACCAGATTTGGCTTGTGGTGACTGGGGGACATGGGATGGGTTATTTTCTGGCTTCTGACCCTTGGATTCTCACAGCGTCTGGCTGAACTGCTGCTGGAGAGAGAGCCAGCCCCCTTGTTGCCAGAGGCTCCTGCCAGGAGTCCCCCCGAGGGCCCAGCACACCACCTGGCCCTGCAGCTGGCCAACACCAAGGCCCAGCTGCGGCGCCTGAGGCAAGAGCTGTGAGTACCCCAGGCTGGGAAGTGGGCCTGGAGGGAGCGGATGGAGGTGGGTGGGATCGGGCCTGGGGTTCTGGGTCCCCACACCCCTCTAGCGTCCCTTCTCTCCAGGGAGGAGAAGGCCGAGCTGCTGCTCGACTCCCAGGTGGAGGTGCAGGACTTGGAGGCCGAGATCCGAAGGCTCCGCCAGGAGGTGCGCTCAGATGTCCCTCGCCGCTGTCGCTGTCGCATTCCCTAGCTCTCTCCCCACGCCTCCTCTGTCCCGTCGCCTGCCATCCCCTCCTCCGTGGGCACCTTCCCCTCCCTAATCCCGGTGGCCGGCGGCTGGCCGTTCCCAGCTCCGCACCGTCTGGCTCAGGCCCAGGTGCTGTCGGGACAGGCCAAGCGGGCCGAACTGTACCGCGAGGAGGTGGAGGCCTTGCGGGAGCGGGCCGGTCGCTTGCTCCGCCTGCAGGAGGAGCTGCGACGCTGTCACGAGCGGCTACAGGTGGCGGAGGCCTGCAAAAGCCAGCTGGAGGTGAGGCGGGGACGGGGCCCGGAGAGGGCGGGGCCCGAGGCAGGGCCCGGGGGCGGGGCCTGCTGGGGATGGGGGGCCAGGCAGGGAGCGAAATTTGGACCTAGAGGCGAGAGGGCAAGGTCTGGTGGACAGAACAGCATCGGCAAGAAGAAATGTGTGACGGCTAGGAGAAATGGGTGACGTGGTGTCTGGGGAGAGGCCCTCTGCAGAATGGGGCAGATGGAGGGGGATGTGGGGGCGGTAGATCAGGGCAGGTCCTGGAGAGGAGGGTGGGGCCGAGTGCAGGGGAGGAACTGTCTGGAGAGCTCTTTGCCACGGGGCCTAGACGGATGGCGCCTGGGGTGGGAGTTCTTGGGGAGAAGGGGCAGGGCCGACACAGGAGGGGGCAGGGCCAGGTGCTAGGGCCTAGTGGTAAGGGCAGGAGGGAGGGAGAGGTGGGGCCCAGAGAGCACTGGGGTGCAGGGTCAGATGTGGGAGAAAAGGCAAAGTCTGTGGCCCTGGAGTGCTTGAGGGCAGCTTCAATCGCATCACCCGTTGTCTCTGCTCCCCCACCAGGAGGAACGGGTGCTCTCCGGGGCTCTGGAAGCCTCCAAGGCGCTTCTGGAGGAGCAGCTGGAGGCTGCTCAAGAGCGCTGTGCTAGGCTGCATGAGACCCAGCGTGAGAATCTGCTGCTGCGGACCCGTTTGGGCGAGGCCCGTGCGGTGAGATTGAGTGGACCACCGACCTGTCACTGTCATCTGTGACCCTGGTGACCTCAATAGTCCCCTAGGGTTCTCTAACGCTCCCTGTGATCCCTGGCTCCTTGCTTCTCCTGGTGATCTAGGCCACACATTAGCCTGGCCATGGTGGGGAAGGCTTGTCTGACCCTGCCCTTCCCCCAGGAGCTGGACACTCTGCGGCATCAGGTGGACCAGCTGGCAGAGGAGAATGTGGAGCTGGAGCTGGAGCTTCAGCGGAGCCTGGAGCCACCTCTGGGCTTTCCTCAGGAGGGTGAGTAGGGCCCCAGTAGAGGGGCTGGGGATGTAGGGCTGGCTGCCTGTGCTTTCCTACAACTCTGCTGGGAATGGCTTCTGACTTCATCTTCTTCCCAAGGTGTTGAGGAGGGGGTGTCTAGGGGTGTATGGGAGGAGCCAGGGATCATTGCAAAGGGTAAGGAGGGGTCCTAACCTCATCTCACATGTCCCAGCATCCGTGCCAGGAGCAGCTCCCTCACTTCATGATGAAGTGAGAGAGGCAGAGGCTGGGCGGCTGCAGATCCTGGAGAGGGAGAATCGGGAGCTTCGGGGTCTGCTACAGTTGCTACAAAGGCAGCCTGGGGGCCAGGTGAGTCCCCTCCCCTAACCATCCCAGCTGGTCCTTCCTTGCCTCCTGCTCTGGTCTTGACCATTCCTCTCATGTACCCTCAGCGCCCCCTGCCGGAGGAGCAGAGCGAGGACTCCTTGGTTGCAGAGCTGGATGGGGCTCCTCAGACTTGCCTGGCCTCAGACCTGGGCCCCGAGGGTTTGGCTGGCCAGGTGGGGGATGAAGGCACCCAGGCCTCAGACCCGGCTCCCCGGGTATCAGACTCCGCCCTTGAGAGATTAGCTGTGCATCCCCAGGCTTCTGATTTAGACCTGCAGGTGATAGAGAGGCCCCTCCAGCTGGCTGCCTTGGCCCCCCAGACCTCAGACTTGACGCTCCAGGAATCAGGCCCCACTGTAGCAACACAGAAGTGCCCAGAGAATGCTGGCCATGGAGCCCTTCTCCAGATTCCCACCTCTGTGGTCTCGCTTCAAGGTCCAGGGCTGGAAATTCAGGCCGAGCTGTTGGGAGGAAAGGCTGGAGAGTCAGGGCCCAAAGCCCGGGAGGGCCCTGCAAGCAAGCCTGGACCCCCAGAGCTCAGCCTGCGTGTGCAACTGGAGGAGCAGGAGACCCCAGGCCAAGGGCTGGAACTACCCAAAGGGCAGAGAGATGCCAGAGGGGATGAACAGAAGCTGGAGGGGATGATTGGTGACCCAGCCCAGCAAAATCCACAGCAGGAGTCTGAGGGGGCTCTGGAGGCACAGACCTGGCAGGGGCCAATCTCAGGGGAGATCTCGTCTGGTGGAGTCCCAGAGCAAGAGGCCCTGAGGGAGGAGGTGGCACAGCTCAGGAGAGAGGCTGAGGCACTTCGGGCGGAGCTAGAGGCCCAGGCCCGGAGGCTGGAGGCCCGAGGCATGGAGGCTGCCCGCCTCTCTGAGGAGCTGGCTCAGGCACGGAAGACAGAAGCCGAGGCCCACAGGGAGGTGGAGGCCCAGGCCCGGGAACAGGCTCGGCTGCGGGAGGCAGTAGAGGCAGCAGGCCGGGAGCTGGAGGCTGCGTCTCAGGAACGAGAGGCACTGGCAGAGGCCCTGGCAGCTGCAGGCCGAGAGCGGAGACAGTGGGAGCGTGAGGCACCCAGACTCCGGGCCCGGGCTGAGACAGCTGAGGAGCAGCTGCAAGAGCTGGAGAGCCAGGATCGCCGGCACCAGCAGGAGGCTGAGAGGGAGAGGCAGGCCCTCAGAGAGGTATGTTGTGGCTCACAGCCCAGGATAGGCAATGGGGCTCTGGTCAGCTGCTGGGGTTTGGGGTATTAATCCCAACAGTAGCCTTGGGATGCTCAACACCTAGCTGTGGCTGGGGATAGAAAGGGGAAATGAACCCCTACAAGCAAAGGTGCTTGGCCTGGGACACAGTGCAGGTGTCCCCTCCCTCTGGCAGGATGGGGATAAGAGTATGGATGTGGAGCCAGACTGCTTGGGTGCTGCTCCTGGCTCTCTGACTGGTCGCCGACTCACCTCTGCCCTGTTCCTCCTTCCATAAAACGGGGACACTATTCATCGCTGTCTCAGTGGGTCTTTTGGAAGATCAAGGGAGGTAACTGTGCGATGAGCCTTGTTCATGCTGGGCAAAGGCTCAAGGCATGTCAATTATTTATTTTTTAAAAAGACTTATTTATTTATTTTTATTTGCCGGGGAGGGGCAGAGAGAGAGGGAGAGAGTGAATCCCAGACAGATTCCACACCTAGCTCGGAGCCAGACATGGAGCTCGATTTCACAATCTGAGCTGAAATCAAGAGTCAGATGGTTAACTGAGCCACCCAGGTGCCCTGAGACATGTCGATTATTAAGAACAGGGGATCCTTGGGTGGCTCAGCGGTTTAGTGCCTGCCTTCGGCCCAGGGTGTGATCCTGGAGACCCGGGATTGAGTCCCACATCGGGCTCCCTGCATGGAGCCTGCTTCTCTCTCTGCCTGTGTCTCTGCTTCTCTCTCTCTCTGTCTCTCATGAATGAATAAATAAAATCTTAAAAAATATATTACTAAAAAAATAAAAAAGAACAAAGTGTGCAGGAGTCCATGGCAGAGGGAGCTGGTGCCAGGGTGGGGGCAAGGAGGCTTTGGAGAAGGTTCTGAGGAATGGGCAAGATTCCATTAGGTGGGAAAACCATTTCATTCAGAGGGAACAGCATGTGCAGAGACTTGAAGGCATTAACAATGCTTAGGGGCCTGGGTGGTGGGGGAACAGGGCCAGACAGATGTTCTTGGGCAGCTTTGCAAGTGTCAGTACTCTATCTCCAAAGCCACCCAAGTATGTGGGCAAACCTGCATGAGGCTGGGTTTGAGGAGGGTCCCCTTGGTGTGCAGGGGAGCCTGGGGCCATCAGGAGGCAATGTCAGTGGTCCAGGTGGCAGGTGCAGCTGCCTGGGGCTGGGATGGGGGATGGAGGAAAGAGACCTGGACACGCCATCATCCATGCACTGAGGCATGTTGACAGGGATCTCCTTGGTGCCAGGGACTGTACCAGGCACTCAGTATGCCTGTCCTAGGGGAGGCTCTCACAGTCTGGGGTGGAGACAGGACTATGCAGGGAGCTGTGGGAAGTCCAGGAAGCACAGTAGACTCAGGCTGGGTCATGTCAGGGAAGGCTTTCTGGAGGAGAGAGAGAATGGCAGTGAGCCAGGAGGAGGCATAGGCGTGACTGTGTGTGTGTGTGTGTGTGTGTGTGTGTGTGTGTGTGTGTGGTATGATGTGGGAAGCAGAGGGAAGCTAGGCAGAGGATTCACTAGGGTTCCTACTGGGCAGGACCCCATCTTCCTTTCAAGCTAAAGAAGGAGTTGCAGCTGTTCTTGGGCAGAAAATGACCTCAGTGACCTTTACATGAGGGCAATGACTTTAAACCCAGCGGAACGTTGAAGGGAAGCGGAGTAGTAAGTACTCATGTTGAGAGGCCCTCCAGGAGAAGCAAAGGAGGCTAGGAGGCAATGGGAAGGATGTTCCGGGCAGCAGGCCTGTGCTTTGGGGGAGGGTGTGCTGCAGATGAGGAATTGAATCTTCCAACTGAGTACAGTTTCCAGTCTCATCCCTACTGTCCAGATGAGGACACTGAAATTCAGAAGGAGTAATTTCCTGAGAGCCCCCTCAGGCGGAGAGGAGCGGGGAACACACTGATGGGGTGACCGGGGGGGTTAGGCCTTCCTTGGGCCAGGCAGGCCTGGGGCATGGGAGAATAGGGGTGTGGGCATGTGGGCGGGAAGGTAACATGGAGAGGCCACCTTTGGGGTCCACTGTGTAGGATGTGACAAGAGATGGTGTCTTCTAGCCCAGATCCCTGGCTGACTGACCCACTGTGTGGTTAGGGCTGAGTTACTTAACCTGTCTGCATCTCCTGGAAAACTGGTATACAGATGACCTGCCTTATAGGATCCCGTGGGATAATGAATGTAGAGCTGTGGAGTGGAAATGCGGGCAGGTGGACCGCGCAGGTGAGGGTAGGGTGAGGTGCAGATGAGGATAGGGTGTGTTCTGAGGAACCGAGTGGGTGGAAGCGCCTGAGGACAAAGGGGAATTTTGTGAGATTTCCTGGACAGAGCAGTTCCTGGTGATACCTGGGTGTGGTGCTGGAGGAGGTGGCTAGCCTGGGGAGCTCAGGGAACCAGGAGCCAGGACTTGTCCACGTGGGCTGGGGGGAGGGCAGGAGGTGCAGTGAGGACGGGGCACTGAGGGCTAGGGCCAGGGCCTGGAGGGGGCCAGCTCAGGGGTTCTGGCCAGAGGTTCAAATCTCTGCATCTCTACCACTGATCTTCCTACCCTTAGTCCTTGGGCTCTGATGGAGGCGGGTGAGAGGCCGCAGGGCCTCATGGGACTTGTAGTTTTAAGCGAGAGTGGACAAGGGTCTCCAGAAGCATAGTGGCCCTGGGTAGACTTGATGCGGTTGCAAAACTGGGGAGATCAGAGCAAAGGTTGTCCACCTGGTGTCCAGAGAAAGGATTTAGTTGACGGCTAGTCAGAGATGGCCCTTCCTTGTGGTTTCATTCTGCCAGGACCCCTGCACCTCAGAATGGTTTGACCTATCTTCTTCTGAGCCCCACATGTGGACTGGGCCTCCTCCCCCCTTCCGCAATGGTGCGGCCCAACCGCCACAGGATGCCTGGCCTAGCCCATAGCATCTCTCCCTGCCCCCCCCCAGTCCGCACTGTGGTTGGGCCTGACTTTCATCAGGTTCCTGCCTCCTGCAGCCATCCTCCTGTGGCCAGGGCACTTTTCAGATCTGCCGCTTCCAAGCCCCTCTTTCCCTCACATGGCCAGTGTGGCCTCAGGACGTAGGGCGCGTCTAGCTGCCACTGGGCGCACTAGGAACCATGGGCTCAGAGAGGTAAAGACGCTTGCCTGGCGTCTTTTGCCCTCCTGGACCAGGGGCCTCCCTCACCCAACGCCAGGCTTCTGATCCTAGCTCTTTCGTGGTCACTCTGCAAGGTGGCGGCCAGGCTTTGCTCCCATTGTACAGATAGGGGAGTAGAGGCCCAAAGGGTTAAAGATATTTGCCTGGGGGTGGGGTAGTGGTGGTGGTGGCCCCTGGCTCCCTCAATCAGTAGAGCATGTGACTTGATCTCAGGGTCCTGAGAGCCTACTTTGAAAAAAAAAAAAAAAGAAAAAGATATATGCCTAGAGTGACAGAGGAAGGACAGACTCTCAGGCCTTGGTGTATCTGGCCCTCCCCTGCCCCCCACTCCCCAACCCCCTCCCTGGTGAGGATGGTGGTCTTCCCTTGTGGCTCTGAGCCCCCTGTGTCTGCCCTTAGGAGCTAGAGAAGGCGATGGTGCGGGGCCAGGAGCTGGGGGCCCGGCTGGAACACCTGCAGAGTGAACTGGAGCAGGCAGCTCTGGAACGCCAGGAATTTCTGCGGGAACAAGAGTTCCAGCACCAGAGGTGGGGTGTTCCCCAAGGGGCAGAGCCAGGCCCAGCAGGGCTTGGGGAGGGGCTGGTGCTAACACTTCTCCTGGCAGGTACCAGGGCCTGGAGCAGCGGCTGGAAACAGAGCTGCAGGCAGCGGCCATCAGCAAGGAGGAAGCCCTGAGGGAGCTCAAGACCAGGGCCCTGCAGCTGGAGGAGGAGCTGGTCCAGGTGAGGCTTGCAGGCCCCTGGGTGCCTCATGCCACCTCTTCCTGCATCCTGCCTATAGATGTCCAGAGCTGTGTGCGATCGCATCCCCATTCCGCCAGCCCCCATCTGGTTTTGGCCAGTCGCTTGCCTTGTGCCCCATCTTGGGGCCTCTTGGAGAGCACCCCTGTGCTGGGAGTCAGGTTGACTCTGCCCAGGCCGCAGTCTCCGAGGGGGCTGGTTTTCCTCATTCCTCAAACGGATGGAACTCAGTGGCTCTGCTCTGAGGTGATGGCTGTGTCTCTCTTGGGCCTCACCACTTCCTAGTGAGCTCAGTTACTGCCATCGTCCTAAGCCGACAATCGTTTCTGAGGCCGCTGCTGTGCATGAGCTCACAGCTCAGTGCTCAGCTCTGTGGTTGGTGGGGCCCAAGACCAGGAAAGAAAATGGGCCACTGTAACACAGGGGATCAGGGGACGGTGGGCACCCAGCAGTGCCCTAGGTTTGTTTTGGGGAAGTGGCATTGAAATTGGGGCCCAGAGGAAGAAGAGCAGGGGGCAAAGAGTGTTCTGTGCAGGAGAAAGTGGCTGGGGCAGAACTGAATGATGCGGAGCAGGGTGGATGGAGAGTGAAGGTGGATCTTTGGGAGCCAGGAGCACGGAGTGTGGGACCCAGTGACAGAGGGATGGGGGCATTGTTAAGTGCTGCCAAAGGGGTGAGGGTCCCCTGGGTTAGGTCCCTGCACCATCCTGAGGTGGCCCCTGCACCCCCGCTTGACCTCTCGAGGCCTCTCCTTGCAGCTGCGCCAGGGCCCGGAGGGGCTGGGGCCAGAGGGGCACGCTGAGCCCAGGACCCTACGGGCCCAGAGTGGGCGGCTCATCGAGGTGGAGCGCAGTGTGAGTGTCGACCTTGGTGGGCCCGGGGAGGAGGTGGCCCCAGTGGCCTGGCCCCTGCTAACCCCTCTCTCTTTGGGCCAGAATGCAACACTGGTGGCCGAGAAGGTGGCTCTGCAGGAGCAGCTGCAGCACCTGGAAGGGCAGCTGGGAAGCCTGCAGGGGCGTGCCCAGGAGCTCCTGCTGCAGAGCCAGCGTGCGCAGGAGTACAGCAGCCGCCTGCAGGTGGGTGGCAGCCTAGGTGCCCTGTCCCCTGCCCTATCTCATGCCCCCTTTCCACCTTTGCTTGCTCTTTGCTCTGCCCAAGCTCCCAGCTGGCCACCCTATTTGTGCTCTAGTCCCCACTCTCTGCCCCTGCTTTTTGCCCTCTGTTGCTGCCACTCCAGCCTTCAGCCTCCTCCACTGAAACTTCTGTCTGACTCCTCTGCCTTGCCCCTGGCCTTTTGCCCTGTGTCCCTTACCCCCTTTCTGGCCTGAGAGTGCACCCCCTCCTGTGTCCTAGGCTGAGAAGTCTGTGCTGGAGATGCAGGGCCAGGAGCTGCACAGGAAGCTGGGGGTGCTAGAGGAGGAGGTGCGGGTGGCACGGCAGTCCCAGGAGGAGACTCGGGGGCAGCAGCAGGCTCTGCTGCGGGATCACGAGGCACTGGCACAGCTGCAGCGGCGGCAGGAGGCCGAGCTGGAGGGACTCCTGGTCCGGCACCGCGATCTCAAGGCTAACATGCGGGCGCTGGAGCTGGCCCATCGGGAGCTGCAGGGCCGGTGAGCCTCCCCCGACTCCCTGGCTTCTTTCCCAAGCAGCCCCTGCCTGCGCGCAGCAGACTCCCTTGGTGGGTCTGACACCCTCTGCCCCCTGGCAGGGAAGCACCACCCCTGGACACAGCCACCTCTGGTGCCGGGGCCCCACGTGGGGCTGGCCTCCGGGGTGAGCTCACCCCGAGGCTGGTTCATCACTGGGAGAGTTGGCACTTTGCCTGGCATTCTGCCCAATGGCTTTGTTTGGAGGCTGGTGCTTAGGAGAGGGCAGATCCCTAGGTCCACATAGTCCAGCCGCCCGCTTGCCCCGGCTGCAGGTGTCTGCAGCCCTCTCAGTCCCTGTGTATCCCAGGCATGAGCAGCTGCAGGCCCAGAGGGCCAAGGTGGAGGCACAGGAGGTGGCCCTGCTGGCAGAGCGGGAACGCCTGATGCAGGATGGGCATCGGCAGCGTGGACTGGAGGAGGAGCTGCGGAGGCTGCAGAGCGAGCATGAGAGGTACAAGCTCTGGCACGGCCCCACCCCTCTAAGGCCAGGTCTCAGGGTTCCCATCTGTGAAGTGGGTTGGTGGTGAGTTATTCCCCATCCCCGTGGGGTCCTGTTTTGCCACTTCTCCCCCAGCGTGGCTCTTCTGGCCCTTATGGTTGGGGGGGCGGGGGGTGGAGTGTCTTTGGAGAGCATCTCTTCTGGACCCTGCAGGGCTCAGATGCTGCTGGCAGAGGTGTCGCGGGAGCGGGGGGAGCTGCAGGGAGAACGTGGGGAGCTGCGGGGCCGGCTGGCGCGGCTGGAGCTGGAGCGGGCACAGCTGGAGGTGCAGAGCCAGAGACTGCGTGAATCCAACCAGCAGCTGGACCTGAGCGCCTGCCGGCTGACCACGCAGTGCGAGGTGTGCTTGAGGGATGGGTGGTGGCTGGCTGGGGGTGGGGAGAGGGTGGGAGAGTGGGAGGATGCCACTCTGTGCCCCATTAAATCCCCTACCTGCCCTCCTGCCTGCTCTCCCCCTCCAGCTGTTGACAGAGCTCCGGAGTGCTCAGGAAGAGGAGAATCGGCAGCTGTTGGCTGAGGTGCAGGCGCTGAGCCGGGAGAACCGGGAGCTCCTGGAGCGCAGCCTGGAGAGCCGAGACCACCTACACCGGGAGCAGCGCGAGTACCTGTGAGCAGGGTGGTGGGTGGGTCCTGCTTGGCTGCTGGGAGCTGGAGTGGGGCCTGGAGACCCCTCTGGCTGCTCCTGGGGAGAGGGCCCAGGAGATCCTGAGGGAAAGGGCTGGAGCTGACCACCTAGGGCTCAGGATAGCAGCACTTTGGCAACCCTCACTGGAGCACACGGGGGTGTTAACAACCAGCAGGGTTGGAGTGGTGGGTGCCTCCTAGCACCTGAGCCTTGCCTCATGCCTGCCTGCCCCCTCCTCCTGCTCTCAGGGACCAGCTCAATGCATTGCGCCGTGAGAAGCAGAAGTTGGTGGAGAAGATCATGGACCAGTACCGAGTACTGGAGCCTGGGCCCCTGCCCCGGACCAAGTGAGGGGCCCTCCTCCACCCCCAGAGCCAGGGAATCCTTTCAACCTCTGCCCCTGCCCCTGCCCCTGCCCTGCCCTCTCCAGGCCCCAGTGAGGGTTTGCATGGCCTTTGCCATCCCCAGCATGGCCCTCTTGTCCCTCCTTCCTCCCTGGCCTTACTCCCTCTTATGCCCTCTTGCCCCCAGGAAGGGCAGCTGGTTGGCAGACAAGGTGAAGAGGCTGATGCGGCCCAGGCGGGAGGGGGGCCCCCTTGGGGGCCCACGCCTGGGGGCCGATGGGGCTGGCAGCCCTGAGAGCCTGGGGGGCCCCCCTGAGGCGGAGCTCTCCGAGGGCAGGGAGGCAGATAGGACAGGTGGGTCTGGGGGCCGGGTGACCAGGATGGTCCCTACCCCACATCTCCTATCCCTATGCTGGTACTTGTCAACGCCTCTGGCCTCTATCTTCATCTTGTGTGGCTTGCACATGTACCCCCATTGGCCTTCCCGCTGCAACCCCACCCCGCCCAGATGCTTCTTGTGGTTCCTTGCCCTGCATCCCTGCCACAACCCTCTCAGCTGGGACCTCTTTCCTGCCTGCACTGCCACCCACCCAGTCCTACCCATCCACACAGCGGCGTCTAGGACCTCAGAGCAGCAGAAGATTTTAGTGAGAGGTCATTTATCCCAGTCAGCAGATGAGGAAGCTGAGTCCCAGGGAGGGGACATTCCTTGCTCAAGGTCACACAGTGAGTTAGTGTCAGAGCCAGCATAGGCCCTCCTCCTGTCCCTGCCCTCCTTCACCCAGACTTTACCTCTGGCTCTGCAGCCTCCTCTCCGTGCTCCTTGGCAGCTTCACCCTGCTGGCCCCTCCACTCTGCCCAGGCCCTTTTTGTACTGCCCCACACCCTGCCTATGCCTCTTTCAGGGTCCCCCTCACCAGCACCCATGCGCCGGGCCCAGAGCTCCCTCTGCCTGCGGGATGAGACCCTTGCAGGGGGGCAGCGGAGGAAACTCAGCTCACGATTCCCTGTGGGGCGAAGCTCTGAGTCATTCAGCCCCGGGGATACCCCCCGGCAGCGATTCCGACAGCGTAGGCCAGGCCCCCTGGGTGCACCCACATCCCATGACAAAGGTGAGAGACAAGGATCCCTGCTCCTGTTTGCTCCCCAGCTCCCTGGGACCCACCAGCTCCCTGGCCAATGGAGCTTCCCTCCTGTCCCTTGGGTCTCCCACAAGCCCTGCCCCTGGTTCCCATGGCCCATTGGCTGCCTTGTGCATCCCTTAGGACCAGGCGTGGGATGGGATGGCTCCACTGAGACCCTATCTGAAAACCAAGCAGATGCCAATGGAGAGGGTGAGTGAGGGTATTTGCCGTGCCCAGTGCCCCTGGTTCATCCACTCATATACTTGACAACGAGGCTTTACTCAGTTTCCAGGGATGTGTTAGGGATACAGCAGGGGATGCAGCTGAAGAAGCAGCAGGGGACATTCTGGTTTGGAAGGCAGACAGTAAACAATATGCACAAAAATAATAATTATCTACAATGGCCCTGTCCAGTAGAAATATGTGAGCTACATGTGTAGTTTAGAATTTCTAGTGGCCTCATCAGAAAGGTAAAGAGGTAAAATTAATTTTAATAACATTTTATTTATCCCATTATACCTGAACTATTACTATTTCCACGTGTAGTCAGTGTGGAAAGTCACCAATGAGATATTTTAATTAATTAATTAAGTCAGTCATCTCTATTAATGAAGTAGTTTATATTATTTTTTTCCTGCTATATCCTTGAGTCCAATGGCTATTTTACACTCAAGCACAGAGATGTTCAGATCAGCTGCACCCCAAGTGCTCAGTCCTGCCCTGTGCAGCAAGATGGCCCTTGCCAGCCCCAGAATGTTAGGAGATGGCAGTGCTCTAGGAGAGACAGCGTGCAGTGGGGAAGGAAGTCAGGAGTGCTGGGTGGGGCAGGTTGCAATTTTAACTACTGTGCTCAGGGTAGTCTTCAGAGAGGAGGTAAAGTTGCAGCAAAGGTTTGGACTTTGGACATAACCTGGGGAAGGACATTCCAGGCAGAGGGAACAGCCGAAGCAAAGGCCTGGCCAGTTCAAGGACTGGCAGCTGGAGTGAGGAGGGAGACACCTGAGAGGAGCTGCAAGTGGCAGTAGGGGGCGGTGGTGGTGTAGAAGGTGGGGGGCCCTGGAGGCTGCCTGGAATGCTGGGAGCTCCAAGGGAGCAGGCCTGAGCTATGCCTTTCCCTTCAGGCCTCGAGGTACAGGAGCCGGAGAAACACCCTCTCGCCCCTTCCCTCAGTCAGTGATACCATGTGGACTGGGGGCTTGGGCTTGGGATCTTCTCACCACTGGAGTCCCAATCGGGGCCCCCGGCAGCCTAGGAATGCTGGGATCCGGGTCACCTGGAGCCCCTCTGTAGGCAAGGAGGCCTGGGCCTCCAGCTCCTCCAAGGCCTGCCCTGGGGCCCTGAGATGGAGCTGGGATAAGCCTGTGGACAGAGGGGACGGCTGGCGCCCACAAGCAGCTCCTCGCCAGGGCTCTGGCTCTCCCATGCGGCCCTCACTGAGGAGGCCATCTCTGGGTGACCCCCCAGTGGAAGGCGACGGGCAGAAGTGGCCAAGAGAGTCCCCTGTCTGGTCTGGGCGGGGAGCCAAGGACCATTCACCGGGGAAGGTGCCCTGGGCCCATCTCTGAGCCTTAGCTGTGATGCAAGGGCCATGAGAATAAAGCTGGGATGCCACCACCTGAAGCTGTGCTCTGTGTTTACCGACTGTATCCCAGAGTCCCCAAGGCACCAGCCATGTGCACAGCCCAACTGCGTGGGCCGAGGTCTGTCCCCTTGAATCCTTTGTCCTGCCCAGGGCAGCGAAGGGCTTTCCTCAAGGGACTGGCCACTGGGGCTCACTTGGATGGCCCAATGGGGTGGGGAGGTGGGTTCTGAGCCTCCCAAGTCTGGGTTCCAGTAAAACCCCAGATACTCCTCCCCACCCCCTCCTCCCCTCTTCTCTACTTTGCACGTGTATCCCCACTCTCTTCCCACCCCACCTAGGGTTGAACCCCTCCCCAGTGAGTTCTCAGCCTGGTGGGACATCACTTAGTGTCTCAAGCCTTCATGCAGGGACACAAAAGGTGGGAAGGACACCTGGTCTCTGACCAGCACTTCCAGAATGATGCCCAGGAAAGCGGCAATTAGGCTAGGTGGCAGAACGTGAGTCAGGGCACCTGGGGCCACCCGGGGTAGGGTGGGGCTGCCAGGGCTGAGGTGAGGCAGCCTGAATTTGGGGGTGGCCAGTCCAGCCTCTCCAGGGTGCTCTGCAGAAGCCTGACTCATAGGGTTTCCACAGCCCCTCTTGGGATAACTAATGGCTCTGCCCTCCTCTCAGCCCAAGCTTCATAGTCTGGTGAGGTGAGACAGACCCCTGGCCTCCAGCTAGGCTGAGGAGCTGAGAGCCCCTTCTCTTAGGCTTCAGTGTGGGGGCCCAGATAGCCACCCTACTCTCTTGGTGGCTCTGGTCGATTGTCAGAAAGGCCAGGCCAGCCGGGGCCCCTGGACCTGACCCTGAGTGGACATGCCCTGTGTGGCTCTGACACCTTTTTTGAGATTACTTTGGGCTCTGTGCTGGCATTGGGCTGGGCTTGGGGACGACAGGGGACAAAACCATGTGAGGGGTGCTTGGCACTGGTTGGGCTGTGAAAGGTGGCTGGGGCCTGAGGTGCTCTCACAGATCCACCCTAAAGAGGTTTGGTCAGGAATGCGCCACCATCCCTGCCACGGGTGTGTGTGTGTGTGGGTGTGTGGGTGTGGGTGTGGGTGTGGGTGTGGATGTGGATGTGGGTGTGGGTGTGTGGTGCGGCTGGATCCAGTACCCTCTCAGCGCCCCCTGCAGGCGCCCCCTGGGTAGGCGCCGCCCAGAGACAAGGTCCTCAGGGTGCCTGAGCCCCCAGGCCCTCACCTGCGAAGGCAAGTCCCACCGAGTGAGAGGTGCTGGGCCGAGGCTGTTAGGGCAGCACCTGGACAGGGGTGTCAAGGGAACCCACACGTCCTCTCCCCTGGAGTTATCAAACACGAGTGAGTTGAGATCTTTACCAAATACCTCACTTTCGCTGGTGGCTAAGAATTAGGTGGAGCTCCTTGGCTGCCCTTAGGCCTGGCCCCTGGAGGGGGTGGCTGGGGAGCGCCTGTGTGCCCCTCACCACCCCCACCGGGGGGCACGGGCTCTGGTGGCTCATCACCCCTGGCTGCGGCAGGCCCTCGGGCAGACACCTGGCTCGGGATGGTCCCTCCAGCAGAGGCTCCAGGTCCTCCCCGGGGCCCCAGGCCCGGCTCCCACAGGGTGTCCGCGGGCCCCCAGCAGGATGGCCCGGGGTCCCGGAGCGCACAGCCCTGCGCGCCCAGGGGAGCCGCTGCCCTAGCCGCCCACCCGCAGCCGGGCGCCGTCACGTTCCAGCCGCCTGACTCAGGCCGCGCGGGGCGGGGAGCGGGAGGCGGCGCCGGCGCCCGCCTCGGCCCCGGAGGCGGCACCAGGAAGCGCCCGCCCCGGCCGGAGCCGCCATGTAACCGGCGCCGCCCGGAGCAGAGCGGCGCGGGGCCCGGGCGACCCGCACGCCATGGGGGACGAGGACGAGGACGAGGGCTGCGCCGTGGAGCTGCGGATCACCGAAGGTGGGGTGGGGTGGCCCGGGGCGCGGGGCCGGGTGGGGCCGCCGGGCGGGGAGGGGCATGCGCCGGCCGGGGCTCATTCGCCTCCGGTGCCCACAGCCAACCTGACCGGGAACGAGGAGAAGGTGAGCGTCGAGAACTTCGAGCTGCTCAAGGTGCTGGGCACGGGAGGTGAGGACTCCGCACCCCCACAGGGCAGGTGTTCGGGGCCTGGTGCCCTGGGCCTGGCGGTGGCGCACCCGCCTGGGCCTGGGCCAGGCCTCCAGCAATGCCCCCCACCCTTTCCCGGCTCAGCCCGCCTTGGCTGCCCCGCCCTGCCCTGCCAGGGTTTGCATGCCCACTCCCAGGGACATGCCTACTCGCGCTGCTCCACATTGACTTTGCTCCTCCCTGCAAGGTCCTCCGGGATTTGCCAACACCCTCCAGGGCTTGCAGCCCTCCCAAGTGATTTGCACACCTCCTCCCCCGTGCATATGGGAGTCTGGTCTCCTGCTTTGCTCACTTGCAGCTTTGCACACTCCCCGGCCTGGGTTTGCACATCCTTCCCCTGTCCACCTTGCATCCCCCCGCATGTGTCTTATTGCCCCAGGTTTGCCCGTGATCTGCCCCTACCTTGCACTGCAGGCCTCCCGGAGTTGCATACCTTCCAGCCTGGTTTGCATATCTCCTCCTTGGTTTTGTTGGCCCTCCTGGGCTGTGTGCAGCTTTTCCTTAGAATGTTCTGTCAGCCTTTTGCACACTTGCCTCTCACTCCAGCTCTTTACCCCAATTTGCACACTCTCTGGGTTGGCATCACCCCCACCAGTCTGCACCATCCTTCTGCTCACAGTCTCCCCTCCGCTCACTCACTGCTCCCACAGCCTACGGGAAGGTGTTCCTGGTGCGAAAAGCAGTCGGGCATGATGCAGGGAAGCTATATGCCATGAAGGTGCTGCGCAAGGCAGCGCTGGTACAGCGTGCCAAGACGCAGGAGCACACGCGCACCGAGCGCTCCGTGCTAGAACTGGTGCGCCAGGCCCCCTTCCTGGTTACGCTGCATTACGCCTTCCAGACCGATGCCAAGCTGCACCTCATCCTGGGTAAGGGCGGGCCCCTGCCGACCTTGGGGGACACGGAGGCGGGTGGGGCTGCTCCATCAGAGTTGCTGCCCAACCTCTGTTCCACCCCCCAGACTATGTGAATGGAGGCGAGATGTTCACCCACCTCTACCAGCGCCAGCACTTCAAAGAGGCTGAAGTGCGCGTGTATGGGGGTGAGATTGTGCTGGCCCTGGAACACCTGCACAAGGTGGGTGAGGACCTGGCCACCCGGCTATTGCCAGAGGAACTAGGTCCGGGCCTCGTAAGGGGCTTCCAAAGACAGCAGCCTTGAGCTGCACTCTCTCAGGCTTCCTGGGGGACTGGTGGTCCTGGTGGGGACTGGAGCCACTTCCCCGGGGGGCCTCCGGGAAGGAAGGCTTTAGTGCTGCCTGGGGAGGGATCTCTTCCCCTGGTACCTCCTCAAAGGGACTTTCCTCTGACAGGGAACTCGGGGCTACCTCCTGGGGCCATGCTCACAGAACTTCCTCAAATGGAGACCTCATGCCTTGGCTCCAAGGCCTTCTTAAAATGGGGCTCTTCACATAGGTTTTCCTCCCTCTGGGGCCTTGGGGCCTGTTCCCGTGGTGTCCTCCTTCCTTGCTTTTACATCTTCAATGGCTTTTCCCATCCTAGTCCCTGTGCCCACTCCTGTACTGGAGACCCCACCTGTAGGGGGCTCCCCTTATCCTGAGTGGGGTCTTGGTGCCTGGCCACCATAGCAGGAAGGGGCGTTGGGGAGGAAGGCTCAGTGCTCCTTTTGCTCTTGCCAGCTGGGTATCATCTATCGAGATCTGAAGCTGGAGAATGTGCTGCTTGACTCCGAGGGCCACATCGTACTCACAGACTTTGGGCTTAGCAAGGAGTTCCTGACGGAAGAGGTGAGTGAAGGGCAGTCTCTCTGCCTACTGCACCCCCGTTCAAGCCTTCACCTTCCTGTCCTCCTGCTCCATGCCAGGCTCTGCATTTCTTGCGGGGCAGAGGTAAACAGGTCTAGGTCCTGCCTTCAGGAGATTCCTTGTGTTCCGACCCTCACGAGTCCAGTGAGTCCTACTCCGAGCCTTGGGGACTGCTGGGTGTCCAAATGGGTCCTCTTGCCCTCCCAGAAAGAACGAACCTTCTCCTTCTGTGGCACTATCGAGTACATGGCCCCCGAAATTATCCGCAGCAAGTCGGGGCATGGCAAGGTGGGTTAGCAGGGGAGTGGGTGGGGATTGAGGGTGGGGTGAGGCAGGTGTGGCCACGGGCCCTCACTCCCTGGCTCTACCCCATCAGGCTGTGGACTGGTGGAGTCTGGGCATCCTCCTCTTCGAGCTGCTGACGGGGGCCTCGCCCTTCACCCTGGAGGGCGAAAGGAACACGCAGGCAGAGGTCTCCCGGTGAGCGGGGCTGGACAAGGATGGGGGCAGGGAGAGTGAGGGGCCTGGGCAGGGTTGGGGAGGGGGCTCGCTGCCCCTGACGCCCCCCCAATCCTCCCAGACGGATCCTGAAGTGCTCCCCTCCCTTCCCCCCCCGGATCGGGCCCGTGGCACAGGACCTGCTGCAGCGGCTACTTTGCAAGGACCCCAAGAAGCGACTGGGTGCAGGGCCCCAGGGGGCACAGGAAGTCAAGAACCACCCCTTCTTCCAGGTAAGACTCCTGACTCTTTCCCCACGTGTCTCTGCACACCCCCAGAGTGGGCTGCTGCCCTGGGTTGAGGGACACTGGAGGGATGGTCTGAGACCCACTGATTTCAACTGCTTTAGAAAAACCACCAGATAGCCAGTTTTTCTCCGTCTCTCGTGAAACTTGGTAGATGTGATCCTAGGGGAAAGAATTTTCCCAGGTTCATTGGCTGGCAGGGGCTTGAGGATGGCTTCCTCAGTCCCCTCACTGGGCAGGTTCAGAGAAGGGGTGTGACCTCTCCAGACTGTACAGGAAATAGTGTAGAGCTGGAGACACATTGCAGGTCAGTCCCCTGTTGGCTCACACCAGTACTAAAAGTCACACTTGCCACTCTCAGCACCCA